ATGCCAATTGCACGCTCCCTCAAAACTTGAGACATCTGTGGCATTGTGTTGTGTGACAACTGCACAGTGGCATTTTATTGTCCCCAGCACAAGGTGCACCTGTGTAATGATCATGTTGTTTGATCAGCTTTCTTGATATGCCACATATCAGGTGGATGGATTATCTTGGCAAAGGAGAAATGCTTACTAACAGGGATGTAAACAAATTTGTGCACAAAATATGAGAGAAAAGGTTTTTGTGTGTATCAAAAATGTCTGGCCTTTTTTATTTCAGCTCATGAAACATGGGACCAACACTTTACATGTTGCGTTTATATTTTTGTTCATTATACATTTGTGACAGTCTATAAAAACATTTAAGTTGGTAACAGTTATGTTCTTACCTTAATTTCTGCAGACCAAACTTGGCACCCTTGGCCTGTTGTATTGTCTCTCTACTGGCCCTGTTTGAAACAATAACGCTACACTGAAATGAAGTAAATACTGTGCAAGAAAAAACAAATAGGCAAAGTCTCATCTGGGCTAAGTGAATGTAACGTTACATACCTCCATGGCTAACACATCCACATGGTGCTGTGGTGAATACGAGGCTGGTGCTGGCCATTGCCCTAATTGAAAGACACCAGAGTAGCAACATGAATAAAGGGGCTTTTTTCTCCTCTGAATGTGCATATAACGTTGGTCAATGTTGTTAGCTAGCTAGCTAACTTATGTTAACAAACCATCTAATGTTAGCAAGCTAGCTAGCTAAGTAACTCTGCTTGCAAGGGCACAACCAGATAGCAATCTAGCGAATTTAACAGCATTTACCCCATCATTTAGCTAGCTAGCAACTGCCAAGTTCATGTTTCTAGCTAGTTAAGTAGCTAACATTAGCAAGCCATCTAACGTTAGCAAGCTAGCCAAGTAACGTTAACTAGCTAGGCTAGCTAGCTTGCGTTATTGTCGTTGTTGATGTTAACACGTTACACAAGTAAAACTACACACAAATAAGGGAAAGCAGTAACATGACTTACTTGAGAAAACAAATTTAGCATTCCAGTCTGTCGCATGAACAGATGAGAACTAAAAACAAGAAAATTGTTCAAACGCGTTGGTTACATGTTTGAACATTTCAAATGAGGTCTATTTTCTCCGGTGAACTATCTACTCTAGTCGCTCCATGCATGATCCAAAATCCAGGCTAGCGAATTGGTGCTCCATCTACACTACATAACCAAAAGTATGTGAACACCCCTTCAAATTCGTTGATTCGGCTATTTCAGCCACACCCCGTTGCTGACAGGTGTATCAAATCAAGCACACAGCCATGCAATCTCCATAGACAAACATATGCAGTAGAATGGCCCGTACTGAAGAGCTCAATGACTTTCAACGTGGCACCGTCAGAGGATGCCACCTTACCAACAAGTCAGTTCGGCAAATTTCTGCTGGCCTGCTAGAGCTGCCCCGGTCAACTGTAAGTGCTGTTATTATGAAGTGGAAACATCTAGGCGCAACAACGGCTCAGCTGCGAAGTGGTAGGCCACACAAGCTTACAAAACGGGAACGCCGAGTACTGAAGCGCGTAGCGCGTAAAAATCGTTAGTCCTCGGTTGCAACACTCACTACCGAGTTCCAAACTGCCTCTGGAAGCAACGTCAGCACAAAACAGTTCATCGGGAGCTTCATGAAATGGGTTTCCATGGCCAAGCAGCCACACACAATCCTAAGATCACCAGGCGCAATGCTAAGCATTGGCTGTAGTGGTGGTAAGCTCGCCGCCATTGGACTCTGGAGCAGTGAAAACGCGTTCTCTGGAGGGATGGGTCATGCTTCACCATCTGGCAGTCTGACGGATGAATCTGGAATCTGTCCGAATGCATAGTGCCAACTGTAAAGTTTGGTGGAGGAGGAATATGGTTTGGGGCTGTTTTTCCTGGTTCGGGCTAAGCCCCTTAGTTCCAGAGAAGGGATCCTAAAATCCTAGAGGAAAACCTGGTTCAGTCTGCTTTCCACAAGACACTGGGAGATTAATTCACCATTCGACAGGACCATAACCTAAAACACAAGGCCAAATCTACACTGGAGATGCTTACCAAGAAGACAGTGAATGTTCCTGAGTGGCCGAATTTTGAAAAGAATAATGGGACATTTTGTACAATCCAGGTGTGGAACGCTCTTAGAGACTTACCCAGAAAGACTCACAGCTGTAATCACTGCCAAAAGTGCTTCTACAAAGTATTGACTCAGAGGTGTGAATACTTATGTAAATAAGATATTTCTGTATTTCATTTGAAATACATTTGATAAAAAGTAAGAAACCCGCACACTGCTCTTCATTAAGCTTTACGTATCGGCCTCAAGGCCTTCGTCAGGTGTTACCATGCACCTGCAACAAAGATAGCTCAGATGTGCGATTGCCTTTTGAATTTTCAATACATTTGCAAACATTTCTGAAAACAGGTTTTCACTTTGTCATTATTGTATTGTGTTTAGATGGGTGAGAAAAACAATCAATTTCATCCATTTTGAATTCAGGCTGTAACACAACTAAATGTGGAATAAGTCAAGGGGTATGAATACTTTCTGAAGGCACTGTATATCGAATGGGTGCCGCTAGTGTATTATTGTTCGGTATTTCAAAACGTTGGGTGGTGATAAATACAAACAATTAAACTGTTCTTTAATTCCAAAAGCCTGTGTCGTTTTATTTAATTTGTCTTCTTCTTCTTCTTCGTGTGGTTTTCCGGCAGACTAGACACTTTGTTGCGCATTGCTGCCTTTCACAGTTCGGAAAGTGCATTGCACATTTAGTTAACAATAAAGGCAAAAGGGAAATGGGGAAAAAATTAATTGCACCAACATCTAACCCTAGATCCATACCTCTATCCCCAACAAACCCACCACCCCGACCCACTACTTTGGCCGTAACAGATCCTACACCAGGCCGTCAGCCTGGGAGGCTGGGATCCCTTTTTTCAAACCCCCCTGTAATTCTTCTGCACTAAAATCTCTGACACCCAAAAACATCTCTGCTGCTGCTATTACCAATTCTGCTGGGATTTCCTTTCCATATGTGCAGTACAATTAATTACCATAGCAATAAACACCAAGAAGCCAACCTTACTAAAGCACAAACTGTTCTTGTCACTCTGTACTGGCCTACTACTCACAGGGATCCTCTCAGGCTCCCTCACCCTTAGCCCACCATCCTCTACTTTCCTCACTGCCTCAGAGCTACTGGCTACTATCAATTATCAAAGACAGGTTTGAAAGCTCGATGGAGGATGGGAAAAAAATAACTTCCTGTTGAAGTCTTTTTAGCTTCTTCTGTGGGGTTTAAGCGGTGCCGCCACCTATTGTAAATAGTGGTCAACACTTTTCTTCAAGTGGGTGAGGCGGTTTAGGGAGTGGCATTTATTGATAGAAAGGAACCATTTGTATTGCCTCAAAAATATTGTATATTAAATCAATGGCAAACATGTAGGCTATTTTTGGGTATAATCAATATATCATTAATCTACTTAGACTGTCAATTATTGGGTATATCACTTTTTGTGTCATCCTCAATGATTTTAAATGCGTTATGTCCATGTGTGGTTGTATTGTGTTTTTAAATTGGCAAATAAATCGAATCAAATTAATATCACAACAAATGTAAGCTATTTATAAAAAATGAAAACAACAGCTGGCTGGCTGTGGTTAGCTGGAAGGTTATAGACCGAATTTGAGATTAGAGAAATTCCATATTGCTATTGTCTTTCAAATTAAGTAACGTTTAGATGGCTTGCCAAGGGCTTATCGCTGTCCTCTGAGTGGAAAGGACAGCTATAATCACACCTTGAATGGCAAACTCCGCTCACTTGCTGGCTGTAGGAATTTATAGGCTAAAGCTGGCCTTGATTGGCCTACTCTGTCAGATGAGTAGGCAAGTAGTCAAAGTGTGTGTGTGTCTGTGTGTGTGTGTGTGTGTGTAGTTTGGAGCTGAAGCATGAGTATCACACACGCCTTTCCTGTTCATCAGGTCTCTGTCTATGAGTGAGCTCAGCTAACCTCATACTTGGCCAGAAATAGCTCACATATACAGTAAATACACTTGCAAACGAGAGTTGTCCTTTCTCTTCAATGTTATCCAAAAAGATGCACTTATATTCATGGTGCATCCATCAAAATGCCTAACATCTGATGTCAAATCTACCTTGCACAACAGTTTAGTCACAAAAACCAATGGAAACTGGCATCTCAAAATGTTCAAGGAAAAAGGTGCATAATTTAGTGTTTGGAAACTGTGTTTAATATAGCATGCCATGCCATGTTAAACTTTGAGTTACTGACACTGCGCGGAAGGGGGAGAACTGGTTTGGCAGTTTCGATGAGGAAATTAAAACACACACAAACATGCACGAGCACGCAGAGGGAGAAGGAGGCGACAGGAGGGAAGAGCGAGGCGATGTTAGAGATGTGTTTGTTATGTGGGAAAGGGAACGAGAGGGACAGAAGGAAAGCAGCTGAGTTTAAAGGAAAGCTTTTATTGGAAAGAGGGCTGGAGGAGCAGAGAATGAAGGGAAGAAAACACAAAGGAAGAGAATAGAACAGCGGTAAGAGAAATATACAGACTAAGTCTAATTAGGGATGCAAAATTCTGGTAACTTTCCCAGTTCCAGAGTTTTCCAGAAATCCTGGTTGGAGGTCTACGGATTCCCTGCTTATCCTCTCCTGATTCCGGGAATATTCCAACCGGAATTTCTAGAGAACCTGGAAATTTTGGGAAATTTACCGACATTTTGTAACCGTAAGTCTAATACATAGATCTCTAAAGAACTGTGAAGAAGCAGTGATTGAAAACTTCCTGAAATGCGTCAACATTACACTGAGAGAGAGGATGTAGTAACATCAACAGGTTGTTGTACAGCTTCTGTAGGGGCATATAGGACGTTATGAGTGAATCCAAGCTGTGAATAGCTTCAGTTGACAAAACTAAAAAACTAAGTCAATATTTCTGTAACATTATGCCATTAATGACCTGTGCTGACTTTGACACACACTGGTCACAGACAGGCAGACAGACAGGTCGACGGACAGACAGACACTGAGTGTATTATTACTGTAGAAATGTGGTTATGAAGCAACACTCCATATGCCTCCAAAATGGCACTGTATTCCTTATGTAGTGCACTACTATTGACCAGAGCCCTATGGGCCCTATATATAGAATGGGCCCTGGTCAATAGTAGTGCACTATAAAGGGAATAGAGTACCATTTGGGATACATGATCAAAATCTCTGTATTTCTCTCTCTCTAGATGTCTGAGGCGCACAGTCACTCTGGAAGTATATCTCTGATCCAGTCCATGCTGCACAGACTGAGCACTGCAGAATACACTGATCAACCTCCTAACACACACCCTAACACACACCCAAACACACACCAACACCTCACAACCTCAGTGGAAACAGACAGTGGATTCTATGTGACCCTTCAGGACCACGATAATGCAGAGCTCACATTCAAAGGGAAGCTTGTCGCAGTGATTGAGGATGATGATGGTGATTATGTTGATGATGATAATGATCCACAATTGGAAGCTCTGACTGAAAGGGACAATGATCTGGAATCATCAGACAGGGATTCAGAGGAGAGAGAAGAGGGGAATTCCGGTATTCCTTTTTTGGATGCAGGATTGGAAAAACTGGTAGACGAGGAGAAAACCAGCAAACCCCCCGCTGTGATTCCCAGATGGGAGAGACGGCAGTTGCTACCCTGTCCCCCTGGCCTGGATGGTAGACCCCCGCCTCCCCCCGCTCCCCCCAAGAGGAGGGCTAAACCACTGCTACACCCTACAGGGCCACCGCCGCCACCCCCTCCACCAGCCCTTGACCCTAGCCAGAGTGCTCCTGTGTGGGGGAGAGTGGTAGGTGAGGGCCCAGGCTATGAGCTGAGGCCTACAGGGCATGGGAGAGGGCCTGGAGGCCAGGAGGAGGAAATACTGTCGTCCTCAGGGGACAGGCTGTCTGTGTACTCAGCTGTCATCCTCAAGTCAGAACGCCGATTCTCACAGCCCATTCTGGATCCTACTCTAGACTCTACAGCACAGAGGGGTGGGAGGGTGCAGCAGCTGAAGACGACTGGGTCTGTGGCAGCACAGGACCCTTCCCAGCTGAGGGGGAAGGATATAGGGTGCCCCCCTAAAGCCTCTGAGCCGGTGGGGATGGGGGTAATGGGGGTACCCAAGCCACTTATACCCAAACCTCCACACAGAAACAGATCTCCGCCCCAGGGACCTGAGGGGAGAGCCCAGGACAGCCCAGATGGAAGTTCCCCTTCTGGGTCTGAAACAAGAGACATACCCCCTGACCTCCAGTCTATACCACCAGAGACCGAGGGAGTCAGAGAACCACCAGAGCCTAGCGAACACAGCGCAGATGGGAACGAGAGCTCCAGAACCCCTGTCGATATTAGGTGTAACACGGGGGAGGGAGGTTTGTTGGAAGGGGGGAGGAATTTAAAAGACACACAGGAAGTTGTGGTTCAGGACACTGCAACATGGGGTGATGGTGGTGTGCTTGGGTCGAAACACCCCAATGTGAAGGGAGGAAAGGTGAAGACATTTGCCAAGAAGATGATGAGCAGATGGAAGGAGAGTCAAGAGGAGAAGAGAGGAAATGGAGAGATTCAGGAGGACGACAGAGAAAAAGAGGTGGAGAGCGAAATGCCATTAGTGAGTCTTTCTTGCTCATTTAATGCGACAACATTACATTCTTATTCTTTCTTTTACTCCAATGAACTATCTAGCATTAAATAATGAATGAATTATTCCATCATTTCCCTCTTACCATGTTATGTTATAACAGGTGAACCTCAATCAAGATGGACATCCAGTCGAACTATTTAACATTGATTAAGTACGAAGTTGCCCTATTTTTTAGGGTGATCATGGTGTGATTCTTTTGATCTCTTTTTGACAGGTGAACCTCAATCAAGATCGACATTCAGTCAGGTTGCATACTAAAATGTCTGTCATAGAGGAAGAGGAAGATGAGGAAGAAGAAAAGAGGAGTGGTGAGGCTACACAGGAGTCACCAATGATGGAGCAGCCCTGCCAAGCTGAGACGGAGAGGAAGCCTGTGGGAAACCACGCACGTTTTCAGAGGTGAGATGGAGAACGGGAGGGAGGGAGGGAGGGAGGGAGGGAGAGAGAGAGAGAGAGAGTGTCTAGGGGAGTCTTGGGGAGTTTCCATCCACCACAAAATGTATCTCACTCCTCTCTTTTTCCTTGACTGTACTTAAGAGGCACTAGATACCGTGAGTGCTTGTCATAGGAGAGTACACACCTACCTTTGTCCTAGGTCTCTGCGTGTGTGTGTGTTATGATGATGATGACGTTACAGTAGCTCAGACACTACTTCCCCATAGCTGACATGACTTCATGAGTGCCCGGAAGTGACCACGCATTCACACACACACACACATTCTGTGCTCCAAGTTGTTAGTCCAGATCAGTGGCATTTTTGCAATAGTGCTTTGGTGCTATTTTCACAAGTATGTGGTGAATTTTTAAATCTCTTCAAACTGGTAACATTTGTAACGCAGCCAGTCTTACATTCAAAACCTTTCTATTTCGCAACAAAGCCTCCTTCACTCATGCTGCCAAACATGCCCTCGTAAAACTGACTATCCTACCGATCCTTGACTTCGGCGATGTCGTTTACTAAATAGCTTCCAACAGTCTACTCAGCAAATTGGATGTAGTCTATCACAGTGCCATCCGTTTTGTCACCAAAGCCCCATATACTACCCACCATTGTGACCTGTACGCTCTCGTTGGCTGGCCCTCACTACATATTCGTTGCCAAACCCACTGGCTCCAGGTCATCTATAAATCACTTCTAGGCAAATCCCCGCCTTATCTTAGCTCTTTGGTCACCATAGCAACACCCACCCGTAGTATGCGTTCCAGCAGGTATATCTCACTGGTCATCCCCAAAGCCAACACCTCCTTTGGCCGCCATTCCTTCCAGTTCTCTGCTGCAAATGACTGGAACGAACTGCAAAAATCTCTGAAGCTGGAGAGACTTATCTCCCTCACTAACTTTAAGCATCAGTTGTCAGAGCAGCTTACCGATCACTGCACCTGTACACAGCCAATCTGTAATTAGCCCACCTGTCATACCCTGGCTCTGGGGACTCTTAAATGTTGAGCCAGGGTGTGGATTTTCATTGTTTAGTTTTCTATGTGTTTCGTTCTAGATCGTTTATATCTATGTTGGCCAGGGTGGTTCCCAATCAGAGACAGCTGTAGCTCGTTGTCTCTGATTGGGGACCATACTTAGGCAGCCTTTTGGCATGTTAGTTTTGTGGGATCTTGTTCCGTAGGGTTTTGTGTATAACCTAGGACTTCACGTATCGTTTGGTTTATTGTTTTGGTTCGTGTTGTGTACGCAATAAAGAATGTACGCTTATCACGCTGCGCCTTGGTCCGCTTCATCTGTCGATGATCGTGACAGAAGATCCCACCACCAGAGAACCAAGCAGCGTGCCCAGGAGGAGAAGTTGGCGATGTCCCAGGTGGGCGAATGGTGGTCTTGGGAGGACATATTCGCGGGCAGAGGTCCATGGGCAAAAGTAAATGCCCAGGCAGGAGAGGAGAAACGGCGCCAACCGTGCCGACGACGGACACGCGAGAGGCAACCCCAAGTATTTTTTTTTGGGGGGGGCACACGCCGTGGACGACGGGGCTGCTGGAGGCAGCTACAGGGCGCATCGGCGGACTAGGAGAGGAGGCCATCAGGTTTGGGGGGCTGGAAGGGTGGTTGGCGGAGCCTAGAGGTAGAGCAGAGCCAACCCCCCGTACTCAGGCTAGGCAGCGTGAGACTGGGCAGGTTCCGTGTTATGTGGAGCCACGCACTGTGCCGCGAGTGTTCCGGCACAGTCCTGTACGTCCTGTGCTAGCACCACGCACGTGTCGTGCTAAGGTGGGCATGCAGCCAGGACGGAGTGTGCCGGCTCAATGCTCGTGGCCTCCAGTACCCCTCCTCGGTCCCGGATATCCTGCGCCAGTGCCACGTGCTGTAGTGCCAGTACGAGTGCACAGCCCTGTACGTCCTGTGCTGATGCCTCACACAGAGTGTGTGGAAATAGGCATTCAGCCAGGACGGGTTGTGTCAGCTCTCCGCTCCAGACCTCCAGTCCGTCTCCACAGTCCAGCCCGGTCTGTTCCTGTCCCTCGCACCAAGCCTGTGGTGCGCGTCGCCAGCCCCGTCCGGCCCGTTCCTGCTCCCCGCACCAAGCCTGTGGTGCGCGTCGCCAGCCCGGTCCGGCCTGTTCCTGTCCCTCGCACTAAGCCTGTGGTGCGCGTCGCCAGCCCGGTCCGGCCTGTTCCTGTCCCTCGCACCAAGCCAGTGGTGCGCGTCGCCAGCCCGGTCCGGCCCGTTCCTGCTCCCCGCACCAAGCCAGTGGTGCGCGTCGCCAGCCCGGTCCGGCCCGTTCCTGCTCCCCGCACCAAGCCAGTGGTGCGCGTCGTCAGTCCAGCACGGTCCGTGCTTGTTCCACCGGTGCCTGGTCCGGCACCGGTCAGCTGCTCCACACCGGAGCCAGAGCAATCCGCTCCACCGGTGTCCAGTCCAGCTCCGGCCAGCAGGGCCAGACCAGATCAGGGGCGCTACGGGGGGGGTGGAGAGAGAGTGGTGGTCACGCCCGGAGCCGGATCCGCCTCCGAGGCGGAATGCCCACCCGGCCCCTACCCTCTTGTGTTTGGTTGGCGTGGTCGCAGTCCGCGCCTTTTGGGGGGGGGGGGTACTGTCACGCCCTGGCTCTGGGGACTCTTAAATGTTGAGCCAGGGTGTGGATTTTCATTGTTTAGTTTTCTATGTGTTTCGTTCTAGATCGTTTATATCTATGTTGGCCAGGGTGGTTCCCAATCAGAGACAGCTGTAGCTCGTTGTCTCTGATTGGGGACCATACTTAGGCAGCCTTTTGGCATGTTAGTTTTGTGGGATCTTGTTCCGTAGGGTTTTGTGTATAACCTAGGACTTCACGTATTGTTTGGTTTATTGTTTTGGTTCGTGTTGTGTACGCAATAAAGAATGTACGCTTATCACGCTGCGCCTTGGTCCGCTTCATCTGTCGACGATCGTGACACCACCCAACTACTTCATCCCCATATTGTTATTTACATTGCTATTTATTTTGCTCATTTGCATTTGCATATCTCTATTTGCACATCATCTTCTGCACATCTATCACTCCAGTGTTAATACTAAATTGTAATTATTTTGCACTATGACTTTTTATCGCACTGCTTTGCTTTATCTTGGCCAGGTCGCAGTTGTAAATGAGAACTTGTTCTCAACTGGCTTACCTGGTTAAATAAAGGTTAAATAAAAATAAATAGTTTGTGTCAAGCCCGTCTTGAGCATTTGTCCATAGGTTTTCATCGACACCACAGTAAATGTCCTCATTGTTCATCCACCTGGGGAAAAACCTTTTGGCATGGCGAATCCAAGCCTGACATTGGTCTGGATTACTGTAATGTCATGGCATGCCTCATCCAGGGCCTGTAGGAGGGTGGTACGCTCATGGGGATGATACTACATGCTGAAAATAATTCCTTGATGGGGTTGAAGAATAGAGGCAGGTATAGGGGTCAGGAATCGGGGATCGGCCCGAAACCATGCATGAACCACCTCTGCATCGTGGAACCTGACATTGTCCCACACAATGACGTAGGTGACCCATTCACCTTGACAGGCCTGTTCAATCTCAGTGAGTAACTCAATGAGGTGTGCAGCAATGTGAAACCCCCCCTAGCGAAAAGAACCAAACAACTTATTTTGGATAAATGCTTACTGTGTAGGTGATGCATTTGTTACATATAGTACATCTCTGTTCTTGTCAATATCAGATAATTTAAAAAAAACTTACTGTAGAGTAAAATCATAACAGTCATCATCATCATTGTACGTTATAGAATACACTGAGTGTTCAAAACATTAGGAACACCATGACATAGACTCACCAGGTGAAAGCTATGATCCCTTATTGATGTCACTTGTTAAATCCATTTCAATCAGTGTAGATGAAGGGGAGGAGACAGGTTAAAGAAGGATTTTTAAGCCTTGAAACAAATTGAGACATGGATTGTGTATGTGTGCCATTCAGAGGGTGAATGGGCAAGACAGACGATTGAAGTACCTTTGAACGGGGTATGGTGGTAGGTGCCAGGCGCACTGGTTTGATTGTGTCAAGAACTGCAACGCTGTTGGTTTTTTCATGCTCAACAGTTTTCCATGTGTATCAAGAATGGTCCACCACCCAAAGGACATCCAGCCAACTTGACACAACTGTGGGAAGCATTGGCGTCAACATGGGCTAACATCCCTGTGGAACACTTTCGACACCTTGTAGAGTCCATGCTCCAATGAATTGAGGCTGTTCTGAGGGCAAAAGGGGGTACAACTCAATATTAGGAAGGTTTTCCTAATGTTTTGTACACTCAGTATATATCATACTTTATATGTTTATACTTTACAAACATACATTTTTATTCTGTAGTTCTCAAAATTGTAATCTATAGGTTTACCAAATGGTTAAGTGATTATCAATTAAGAGCAGTTGGATTAAGTAATAGTACAATGTATTTTAACAAATGAGAACAGAATCATATCAAAAGTCATGTGAGCGTTGCATTGTGAAAGGCAATTACTTTATATGAACATGTATTGCAATGTGAAACATGTATTTCTAGATGAAACACTGATTAAGTGTGGTGACAGTGACTATGCTATTGTGTGTTGTACTTTAGTCAATTGAAGATGTGCTTAAAGTTTTGAAACAACTGCCTTTTAGATTATATGTTTTGAGTTTTGTACTAAGAGTTGTGAAAATGTACCACATACTTGTGAAAATTGTAATCAAAGGGATATACTTTTTTTTAAAGAAATGTGAGCACTGGTTTCATCAACCCATGACAGATGACATAATAAATATTTGGTTTCCCAAATGGCACCCTATTCCCTATATAGTGCACTAATTGGTCAAATGTAGTGGTCAAATGTAGTGGACTTTATAGGGAATAGGGTGTATAGTGCACTACTTTTGATCAGGGCCCTGTTCAAATGTACTGCGCTATATAGGGAATAGGGTGCCATTTTGTGACGAAACCATTGATTTACATGTTTTCTTCCCTCTATTTTACAGCTCCTTCAGTTCTTTCAAGTTCAACTTCAGTCCCATCAGCTTGGTGGATGAGATTCTAACAGGAGAGGAGTGGTCACCATTCCTGTCCGTCAAGGACATGCCCGCCCCCTCACCGTCCGTTTACCAATCAGAGGCTGCTAGCCAACATGGTTGTGATGAAGGCGACCAATTAAAGACTGAACCAGAGTCGCGCCTCCCCAACGATGTTCAACAGAACCACGAGGACATAGGCCTTTCTTTATATGAGGATGTTAGCTTCATTCAATCAGATCCTAACGAGATTGTGGACAACCAATCGGACAACAGACAACAGGAAGTAAACAACAACAATGACACTGGAGCTGATGCCATTGCTGTCATCAAACCGAAGATACTATTGGACAATGATGCAGCGGAGGAGAGTGAGTTGGACCACTCCAGACCCATATGTAAGGACATCTATGACTCGGTTGAATTACTTCAGTCCCCCATAAGGACGCAATCAAAGGACCTTCTTGACTTCTCCTATGTTGAGGTGAGCCACACTGCAGGATTGTGGGTATTGTAGTCATTTAAAGTGCTGTTGTAGGCCTATGTCTATAGAAGAGGGCTCTCCAACCCTGTTCCTGGAGAGCTACCCCCCCCTGTAGGTTTTTGCTCCAACCCCAGTTGTAACTAATCTGATTCATTTTATCAGCCAGCTAATTATTAAAATCAGGTGCTCTAGATTAGGGTTGAACACCTACAGGACGGTAGCTCTCCAGGAACAGGGTAGGAGAGACCTGCGATAGAAACATTCAGAATCTCTCGTTCTTATTCTCTCTCTCTCTCTCTCTCTCTCTCTCTCTCTCACAGTCACTTGGAGTTCTGGACAGTTCTGCTCAGAAACATCGGATTCATCTGAACAAAAAGAGAAAGCACAGACTTCCGGGGCTAAAGAAGATAAGTAAGATTGAATGGCTGGAAAACGGGATGAAGGAATCAGTGAAAATAGATGGGTAGAAAGGAGTTTGACAAAAGCTGAGACCGTGAAATAACCATTTTATCTGCTGTTCCTTTTCTCTTTCCTGAAATAGAGCTCATCAAGATAGAACGCACTGCAATCAAAGCCCCTGAAATCAAATTCCTCAAACCCTCTCCTCCTCCCACCCTCTCCCCCACATCACTCCCTTCTTCCTCCTCTCCTTCCTCCCCTCTCTCTTCCTTCTCTCCCTCCTATGTCTGTTCGTCCTCTGTTTTCTACAACATCCCTCCGTCTGCTGAAAAACAGGACCCTGTGACATCAACGACACAGAACAACCTCTCTGTTAAGGTCAGAGTTCATTTGACCCCGTAACCATTGGCAACATTTTCAAACACTGTACATTAACATGGTGTGTCTCTGAAGTCTGTCTGAAATGACACCCTATTCCCTGGTGCACTATAGGAATAGGGTGTCATTTCAGACAGACTGTAGCTTATTACTGAATGTAATAATGTATATTAGGATCACTAACCAAGTTTCCATCCAACCTTGCTATGCGAGTAAAGTACATGTTGGATAACAAATGTCAGGACAGGCCTGATGGAAACAATGCATTTGTCGGTAAAGTTTCCAAATGTCGACAAAACAAAATACGTTAGGCAAGGTGGGATCTTTTTGTGTCTGTAAAATTAATTATGTGAGCAATGGCGGTGGAAACACCTTTATGCGCAGATATTGATATAATAACCATCATATCGAAGTAAACTTGGATTCAGGTGATATGTTGTGTGGTCCTCCAACTATGACTCGGGAAAGCATGCAGTTTATTAGGCTACAGATGAAATAAGTTATGATGATCTTTACAGGGTGGTGAAAGTGCACGGTGATGAGCTTGATCCTGGTATGACAAATAAAAAGAATCTCGCTATTTTTGTCCATAATAATCTCATCATGTATGCTAAACCTACACTGTATCTGTATCTAGCTGTTGTCTAGAGAGCATGTGCTCTCTAGCCAACAGGGCACATTCGCTATATAGCCTAATGCAACATTTTTTGTGACAAAACCGTCAGTAGAGTTTAAAATGTGATTGGAAACACATTTAACTTGTATTTTTCATTCGGTACAAGGGAATTTAACCACAAAAGTTATTTTTATGTGCACTACTTCCCGCACAGCTTTTTAGCCACAGCAAGTCAATTTGACGGAAACACATTGTTTTATGCAGATTTTAGAATATTCACATGAAAATCTGTCGCCAATTGGATGGAAACCTAGCTATTGGCAGAGCCCACTTCAATCCATCAAAGATTTCAAAATGGTTCTCTCTCTTCTCTCTCTCCCTCTCTCTCTCTCTCTCTCTCTCTCTCTCTCTCTCACACAGTCACTTGGAGTTCTGGACAGTTCTGCTCAGAAACATCGGATTCATCTGAACAGAAAGAGAAAGCACAGACTTCCGGGGCTAAAGAAGATAAGTAAGATTGAATGGCTGGAAAACGGGATGAAGGAATCAGTGAAAATAGAGGGGTAGAAAGGAGTTTTGACAAAAGCTGAGACCGTGAAATAACCATTTTATCCGCTGTTCCTTTTCTCTTTCCTGAAACAGAGCTCATCAAGATAGAACGCACTGCAATCAAAGCCCCTGAAATCAAATTCCTCAAACCCTCTCCTCCTCCCACCCTCTCCCCCACATCACTCCCTTCTTCCTCCTCTCCTCCCTCCCCTCTCTCTTCCTTCTCTCCCTCCTATGTCTTTTCGTCCTCTGTTTTCTACAACATCCCTCCGTCTGCTGAAAAACAGGACCCTGTGACATCAACGACACAGGACAACCTCTCTGATAAGGTCAGAGTTCATTTGACCCCGTAACCATTGGCAACATTTTCAAACACTGTACATTAACATGGTGTGTCTCTGAAGTCTGTCTGAAATGACACCCTATTCCCTGGTGCACTATAGGAATATGGTGTCATTTCAGACAGACTGTAGCTTATTACTGAGTGTAATAATGTATATTAGGATCACTAACCAAGTTTCCATCCAACCTTGCTATGAGAGTAAAGTACATGTTGGATAACAAATGTCAGGACAGGCCTGATGGAAACAATGCATTTGTCGGTAAACTTTCCAGATGTCGACAAAACAAAATACGTTAGGCAAGGTGGGATCTTTTTGTGTCTGTAAAATTAATTATGCGAACAATGGCGGTGGAAACACCTTTATGCGCAGATATTGATATAATAACCATCATATGGAAGTAAACTTGGATTCAGGTGATATGTTGTGTGGTCCTCCAACTATGACTCAGGAAAGCATGCAGTTTATTAGGCTACAGATGAAATAAGTTATGATGATCTTTACAGGGTGGTGAAAGTGTACGGTGATGAGCTTGATCCTGGTATGACAAATAAAAAGAATCTCGCTCTTTTTGTCCATAATAATCTCATCATGTATGCTAAACCTACACTGTATCTGTATCTAGCTGTTGGCTAGAGAGCATGTGCTCTCTAGCCAACAGGGCACATTCGCTATATATAGCCTAATGCAACATTTTTTGTGACAAAACCGTCAGTAGAGTTTAAAATGTGATTGGAAACACATTTAACTTGTATTTTTCATTCGGTACATGGGAATTTAAACACAAAAGTTATTTTTATGTGCACTACTTCCCGCACAGCTTTTTAGCCACAGCAAGTCAATTTGACGGAAACACATTGTTTTATGCAGATTTTAGAATATTCACATGAAAATCTGTCGCCAATTGGATGGAAACCTAGCTATTGGCAGAGCCCACTTCAATCCATCAAAGACTTCAAAATGGTTCTCTCTCTCTTCTCTCTCTCTCTCCAGACCACTGAAAGCAGCAGAAAGCCAGGTTCAAGTCCCAAGCCGCCTCTGTCCAAGTTCATGACAGCCCTGAGAGACAAAACCAAGAGGAAGCTTAAATAGTGAAGAGAACTAGGTCTTGGAGGAAGCTTAAATAGTGAAGAGAACTAGGTCTTGGAGGAAGCTTAAATAGTGAAGAGAACTAGGTCTTGGTGATCCAATAGAAACCCATAGCTCCTTCTCCTAGCCCCTACCTGCACCCTACCTCTAGGCCCTAGCCACTACCCCTTTAGTGTTTACAGTTTTAGGTGTGTACGCGATAACACTGCAGCTGCACATAGTAATGAAATAGGCAGACATATCTTTGATCAAATGATTATCTTGCTATATTGATTGTCTTACCAACACTTTTAATCACAACTACATTATTTCTCTAACATCAGTGTTATCTGAATGAGATTCTGTAAGATCTGAATAAATGGATTCATTTAAGCACAAGTATATGGTGTTGTATGGTAAAATGATAGAGGGTCATAAGAAGTGAGAGATCTGACTATTAAGAGGTGTTGGGGAGTTTAACACTTTTCAGTAGCCAGCCTATGTGACAGCTTTAATTTAACTGTAGTTCATTGTTGGGAAAGTGCTAGCAAGTAAGCATTTCACTGTACTTGTGCATGTGACAATGAAACTTGAAACTTGCTGGTGTCACAACACCCCAACAGTGTTAATAGAAAGTCTGCATCCCAAATGGCACCGTAGTCCCTATATAGTGCTCTACTTTGGACCAGAGCCCACAGCAATAGGGTGCCATTTGGGACGCAGAAGGAGGAAGGAGGGGTGAGGAGGGTATTTTGAGGACACAAAACATTTATGACAAACGGTATACAAAACTGTATACAAACAATCTGCCACCTCAAAAATACACTATATGTGTGAGTGTGTGAGTGAGAGTGAGCGTGAGAGAGAAAGAGCGAGAGAGAGAGGCAACCTATTCCACACTCTGGTAAGGTTATTTTTCAGATTACATTGTGCAAATATGTAATATTGTTGCATTGTAATTTCAGAAAAATTATTTAATACTTCTACAGTAATAGTGGAATGATAGTGTTTCACAATATTTATTTATTTATTGGGGAACCTAAAATTGCATTCTAATGGTGCATCCTTCTTATTGGTCAACAAAAGACGGACACCCGGCTCTTGTTGTCAAATTGACTGGGTGCTAAACGATTGTGCCACTGCGGATTGTGCCAGAGGCTGTGGCACGTACAATCGGTTAGCGCGCGGAGCCACTCAAATTAGCTGGAGCCACTCGGCCCCTCCTGTGGCACAATCCGTCAGCGCTCGGTACAATCGCCAGCCACAGTCAATTTGACAACAAGATGTTTGCTTTAAATGGCATTCCTAGAATAGTGCTATAGACTATGTTCTCAGATAATTTACCTGGTGAAATAAAGGTTAATACAATTTATTTATATATAAATGTATTTATTTAAAATATTTTTATTTATTTAATAAGTAAAGTAAACTGTTATGATTGAGGTTGTTTGTTTTTAGGAAACGCAGAATCAGAGGAACCAAGATGAAGTTTGTCAGCCTGATAAACCCCTGCAACTTATCCAGAACGCTGCAGCCTGTCTGGTGTTCAACCTTCCCAAGTTCTCTCACGTCACCCCAATCCTCCGCACACTCCACTGTCTTCCAGTTGAAGCTCGCATCTACTACAAAACCATGGTGCTTGCCTACGGAGCTGTGAGGGGAACGGCACCTCCTTACCTTCAGGCTCTGATCCTACACCCAAACGAGGGCACTACGTTCATCCACATCTGGCCTGCTAGCCCCTCTACCTCTACGGAAGCACAGTTCCCGCTCAGCCCAGTCAAAACTATTCGCTGCTCTGGCACCCTAATGGTGGAACAAGCTCCCCCACGACGCCAGGACAGCGGAGTCACTGACCACCTTCCGGAGACACTTGAAACCCTACCTCTTTAAGGAATACCTGGAATAGTATAATAGTAATCCTTCTACCCCCCCTTTACTACCACTGTCTTTTGTCTAAACTAACACCTGACTTATTTCACCTGCTAGCACTGACTTGTTTAAAGAAATGTACTTATTGTGATCGAGATGTAGTTGTCCCTGATTGCACTGACTTTGCTCACAGCTGCTTGTTTGAAGAAGTGTACTTACTGTGATCAATATGTGGTTGTCCCACTGGCTATCCTAAGTTTAATCCACCAATTTGTAAGTCGCTCTGGATAAGAGCGTCTGCTAAATGACTTAAATGTAAAAATGTAAATAATTGTGATGATGTCACTACTTGGGACAAAAATGGCTTTGTCATTCCACAGAAGTACCGGTAAGAGAGTTGCATTGATTACAGTATGTGTTTTGATGATAGTGGTGACAGATTGATTAAAATTTTTCATGGTGATTATCGACCATACATTCTGAAAAGAATCTGTTTTGAAGCTGAAAATGTGCTTTCCTCTTTTATATCCAAATGAAAATGAGATGCATTCTTTACACATATGTAGTCACTTACAGCATTTTGTGAGTAGTAGATGTTATTGGTTTCTCGCAGTCATAGACTGAATTGTACACCAATTTACAATGATAGATTATGATCAAATAGCAACACCCTAAACTAACACAATACTTTTAATATAATGTTAAAATATGCAATATATACTAAACAATAGTACAATGACAATATCTGGGATGGCAGCTTTAGAAAATATATTATTAGAGTTCTTAGGTAGGCATTTCATAGGCCCCTGGGATGATATATGGTGCGTGCATTGATCAGTTTAGTGAATTATGGAATGGGAGAGTTCTGTTAGCGGCCTGTGCATGTCATAGGAATGTTCAGTTTGTGGCTGTTGTGGCTGATTTTCTTAGTAAATCAGGCCCAGGACAGTAGTTATTCCATCATTGTCCCCTAGGTGGCGATACTGTCCCAGTGGATCTCCAGGAGGAGACTGCAACATGTGACATGCCCAGAGCCTGTGACCTGAAGAAGTATGAAGACTGGTAGAGGCTGGGCTCTTACTGTATCAAGTACTACAGTGCTCCTCTCAACTTCACTGACGCTGAGGTAAACAACATAATATATGACAGGAGAATGATATTACGACACTATCAAATGTAGCATGTTATTGCTCTACCTGTAGTCAGGCAGCCTGTCCATTTCAATACAATGGTAATACAGTGAAGTGAAGCGTTCAATCCATTGTCATAATTAGAGCTGTTCTGTAATGTATCCATCTTACTCCCACTGGTGGATTTACCATTAGGCAGAAGAGGCAATTGCCTCAGCCCTCACATCATCAAGAAGCCTCATGAGCTATGCATAATTAAAATACAAAAATACAAATAAAAATATTTCTCCGTTTGGGGCATAAAAAACAAACAAAACAAAAAAACGATGTGCCCAAGCTAGAGATGTCTGGGTTTTTGCATGGCCTTCGTCTCAATTCACCTCATCCGCTGATGTCGGCCTTCTGCATCTGGGGTGGAAGGTGGCCGAGCTACAGCAGACATCTTAAATCGGTCTTCTCACAAAAACGTCTGTAGCGTCCAAACGGTTTGGCCGTTTATGTATATGACCCCTCTATGGATACATGAGACTCTCACGAACACGATGGTGTTTCCGTTGCTCTACGACCCCCACAAGTGTCACGGGACTCAATAATATTCAAATTAGCATTGAAAAAAGTTTACTTTTGTTCCGCATGAGCGAGTCTGACCACAAGTCAGAGACCTCTATGATGACACACCAAATGCGTTTGATTGATCGCGGGAAAAGAGCAGGAATAGGCTTTTATAGGATACAGTATGTCTTCCAATGGTGTGACTGCTGTTGGCATCCAAAGATGATCCAACTTGAATAAATGATTGGAGGTAAGGAAGACAGCAGTGATACGGATATCACTTATTATTGATATCGACATAGCACGTTGATGTGAATCACACTGCTGCTCTCTCATTTAGCTTTTTGCGCCTTACAGATTGTGGTTGTTGTGGATGGCTGTTCACAAATACAGTGCCTTCAGAAAGTATTCACACCCCTTGACTTTTTCCATATTTTGTTGTGTTACAGTCTGAATTTAAAATGGATTAATTCCGATTTTTTTGGGTCACTGGCCTACACACAATACCTCATAGTGGAAGTATAATTTCTACATTTTTACAAATTAATACAAAATGAAAAGCTGAAATGTCTTGAGTCAATAAGTATTCAACCACTTTGTTATGGCAAGCCTAAATAAGTTCAGGAGTTAACATTTGCTTAACAAGTCACATAATAAGTTGCATGGAGTCCATCCTCTGTGTGCAATAATAGTGTTTAGCATGATTTTTGAATGACTACCTCATCTCTGTACCCCACCCATTATCTGTAAGGTCCCTTAGTCAAGCAGTGAATTTCAAACACAGATTCAACCACAAAGACCAGCGAGGTTTTCCAATGCCTAGCGAAGAAGAAGGGCACCTATTTGTAGATGTGTAAAACATTTTAAAAAGCAGACATTGAATTCACTTTTTGTCCTGAATACAAAGTATTAGGTTTGGGGCATATCCAATACAACACATTACTGAGTACCAATCTCCATATTTTCAAGCACAGTGGTGGCGGCATCATGTTATGGGTATGCTTGTAATCGTTAAGGAGTGGGGAGTTTTTCAGGATAAAAAAAGAAATGGAATGGAGCTAAGCACAGGCAAAATCCTAGAGGAAAACCTGGTTCAGTCTGCTTTCCATCAGACACTGAGAGATGAATTCACCTTTCAGCAGGACAATAACCTAAAACACAAGGTCAAATCTACACTGGAGTTGCTTTACCAAGAAGACAGTGAATGTTCCTGAGTGGCCGAGTTACAGTTTTGACTTAAATCTACTTTAAAATCTATGGCAAGACCTAAAAAGGGTTGTCTAGTAATGATCAACAACCAACTTGATAGATCTTGAAGAATTTTGAAAAGAATAATGGGCAAATGTTGCACAATCCAGGGCCCGTATCTCTAAAGAATTTTTGTGCAAAAAGTGGCTCCTAGCGGCCAAATTCTAAGAAAATTCTCAGAGGCATGACGTTTTCTTAGAATTTCCCCTAAAAGTGACACGAAAATCCCAGTTAATATAAAAGCTATTCCTCAAGAGTCCTAGCGCTTAAAAGGGCTCCTAAGGCGAGATCTGCTAAGAGCAGGGAAGAGGACTTTTAGTGGCTTAGGAGTTACCCTAAGCAGCTGCACAAAATGGCCAACAGAGGAGGCAGGAGAGATGTCCTGCAAACACTGGATGACAGGGAATTATTGAGACGCTACAGATTGGATCGTGCAGGAATCATGTTTGTGGTGGATCTCCTTAGAGATGCAATTACTTCACCAACTCGACGCCACAACGCTATTACACCGGAGAAGAAAGTAATCACAACCCTGAGGTATTTGGCAACAGGGAAAATGCAACAATGCAGCAGTGATGACTTGGGTCTGTCCCAATCCTCCGTCAGCAGAGTCATCACCCAAACACTGACAGCTTTGTCACAACCTAATATTGTGACACAATTTGTTTCATTCCCGCTGGATGCCCGCACTTTACACACACATAAAAGGGCATTTATGGACATTGCAGGATTCCCTGGCGTTGTGGGTGTAATTGATGGAACACATGTGAGAATAATTGCGCCATCAGAGGACGAGGCTGTCTTTGTTAACAGGAAGAATTTCCACAGCATCAATGTGCAAATAGTGTTCAATGCGGCCTGGAAGATTTTGGACATTGTGGCTAAATGGCCAGGCTCCACACATGATGCGAGAATGCTCTCCGAGAGTGGCATCAGACAGCTTTTTGAGAGACGCTATGTGCCAGCTAATTGCCACTTGTTAGGGGACAGTGGCTACCCATGCAAACCATGGCTCCTTACACCTTACCTCCAGCCACGCCAAGGGCCCCAACTAAACTATAACAGGTAAGCCAAACAATACAAAAATCATGGAAATGAAATGCAAGCAATATGTTAGAGCATCCAAGTAGTGCAATATTTCCATCAAATAATTAAAGGTCTGTATTCTATTATAGGGCCCACAAGACAACAAGAGCGGTGGTGGAGCGTGGCATAGGCCAGCTTAAGAGGCGCTTTCATGTTCTCCACGGAGAGGTGCGGCTGAGGCCTGAAAAAGTCAGCAAACTCATCATAGCCTGTGCAATATTACACAATATTTGCAAGGTTAGACAGATTGCAGAACCTCTGGAGGATGGCGATGAGGATGAGGATGGAGACAACGATGAGGATGGTGGTGAAGAAGATATTCACATTCCACAGGGGAACCTAGCCCAGAGTGGACTGCCTTACAGGGCAAACTTCACAAATTTACATTTCAGGCAAGCTGTAGCCCCATGTCATTTGAGAACTTGTGATGGTATTAAGAACTACCACAGTTTTACTGCACATCACCTGCAACTGTTAAATGCAAGACACAGAACACAATCTCTAAATGGTTTATTTTTTAGGTGTTCAATTTTAAGGCGGTAGTACTCCTCCTGAAGGGAAAGGACTTTTTTTTGTTGTTCAAACACATAAATTGTGAGTTGCAATCTTCTCTCCTGCAGGGATGCTGACGGAGCAGGTGCTGCGGATGGGAATGGTGTTTGATCCGCCGGGCTATCCTGAGTAGCAGCTGCAGATGGTTCAGGCGGCAAACTTGATGGGCCCGGTTCTTGTGATGGCTCCATGCTACAGAAATACATAGGCCTAGTTTAATTATTGTTTTGATTAAATTAATTTAATACAATGAGCATGGATAACACATGAAATGGCTTCTGCAATGAATAAACACTGTTGATATGAATAACCCTGTGTCCTACCTTTGCTGCATTTCAAGGGCCTGCATCATTGACGTGTCAATGCCTGTTGGCAGCCCGGTGACACTGACCTCAGAGTGTCCCAGGACTTGAAAGACAGTGTCGGCCACCTGGGACAGCCGCTTTGCAGGTGGTCCACCCCCTAGAAAGAAACAGTCAATGAACACAGTACTTAGGCATGTAAATTAACTTTGCCAGCAGGAGCAAATTGCCAGATTATGTGGTAGGCCATAGTATTTTGCTCACCTGTGAGTGAGGATTCCCGCTTGTGTGCTGCAATCTCATCTTTTGCCTTGGACTGCAGCACATACCACCTTTTCTCACAATCGTCGCCTGTCCGCACCACCAGTGGAAAAGAGGCATTGATTGTTTGGGATATTGTGTCCCAGGCGCGCCTCTTGCCTTGGCTAGTGACAGTTGGGCCAAATTTTCCTCGTAACATACCTTTATGTTCGTTCACCAACTGGGCCAGCAACAAACCTTGCTCCTCAGTCCAGTTCGGCTTGCGATTCCTTTTTTTCTCCATTTTCTGTGTTTGTAGGATATTTGTTAACAAGCCTTCATAAATAGACCAGCCAGCAATCACAGACATTGTTAAAAGCTGAGCTGTGTTACCCTCGTTAAGTTCACACTGAGTTGTAACGTTGCAATTTCTACTTCATTAAGGACAGCCCCTTGAGATAGGCCATCTTGTTTTCAATGGGGTCCATATGGAAGTGAAAGTACAAAATATGCCAGCTAGGATATTAATATGAGCAAATGAGACACAAATCATTATTTGAACAGGGTGTAATGAGCTTAAGTTTTCACATATTTTAGATTCTAATGTTAGGCTATAACCCCTACAGCTTACTATTCATTTTCCAGATATTTTCTTGAATGTGAAATATTATTTACAATTATAGTCTGCATAAGATTAGAGTGTATAATTATGTTTATTGATTTGAGGGTACATCCTTTGCTCATTATCACCAAAAGTTCATTTTCATCAAACTTGTAGGATCAACCAATCACGGCTTTTGAAATGATGACTCATACCTAGCAACGGGGTCAACCACACCTCCTCACTAAGATAGGATTTTTCATCCATTCCTGGCTCAGAGTTCACTGAAAATGTTCTGGAATCACTTCTAAGCTAAAACTCCTGGCAATGAATTTTTAGGTTAAGTTAGGAGCTCTCTGAGAGGATTCTCAGAATCTTTAAGGATACGGGCCCAGGTGTGGAAAGCTCTTCGAGACTTACCCAAAAAGACCAAAGGTGTTTCTACAAAGTATTGACGCAGGGGTGTGAATACTTATGTAAATGAGATATTGCTGTATTTCATTTGAAATACATTTGCAAAAATGTTTTTAAGAAAGTAGATGAGTAGGTGGCCAGTACGTTGCAATAAACTTTTGTGAACTATTAACAGAATATATTTACAATATAATACATATGGGAGCAGTCAGCATAGTACATCAGGAAGCACAACTGCAACGCATGTCTAAAAACACGTTTTCACTTTGTCATTATCGGCTATTGTGTGTTGATGGGTGAGAACAACATATATATTTAATCCATTTTGAATTCATGCTGTAACACAACAAAATGTGGAATAAGTCATGGGTTATGATTACTTTCTGAAGGCACTGTATATGTGTATTGTAACCCAATAATGGTTGAATTGAAGAAGTTTAAGCTATCAATCATTGTTTTTGCGACCAGTGGACAGCTAATGAAAAATGCACTCCTGCAACAGCTGCCTAGTGTGGATCCAGGGCCTGATTAATTCAGGGGTTTACAGGGGCTGAAGGCCCAGGGCCCAAGCCCGTAGGGGGCCCTTGAGGCAGCGAAAAATTTAAATGTGTGTGTGTATATATATAGGAGAACAAGTATTTGATACACTGCCGATTTTGCAGGTTTTCCTACTTACAAAGCATGTAGAGGTCTGTAATTTATATCATAGGTTCACTTCAACTGCAAGAGATCTTGGCCAACAACCTCCTTCTCTCAGTAAGAGCATTGAAGATGGGTCGTGGCTGGGTCTTCCAGCATGACAACGACCCGAAATACACAGCCAGGGCAACTAAGGAGTGGCTCCGTAAGAAGCATCTCAAGGTCTCAAGGAATAGCCTAGCCAGTCTCCAGACCTGAACCCAATAGAAAATCTTTGGAGGGAGCTGAAAGTACGTATTGCCCAGCGACAGCCCCGAAACCTGAAGGATCTGGAGAAGGTCTGTATAGAGGAGTGGGCCAAAATCCCTGCTGCAGTGTGTGCAAACCTGGTCAAGACCTACAGGAAACGTATGATCGCTGTAATTGCAAACAAAGGTTTCTGTACCAAATATTAAGTTCTGCTTTTCTGATGTATCAAATACTTATGTCATGCAATAAAATGCAAATTAATTACTTAAAGATCATACAATGTGATTTTCTGGATTTTTGTTTTAGATTCCGTCTCTCACAGTTGAAGTGTACATATGATAAAAAATTACAGACCTCTACATGTTTTGTAAGTAAGAAAACCTGAAAAATCGGCAGTGTATCAAATACTTCTTCTCCCCACTATATATATATATATATATATATACAGTACCAGTCAAAAGTTTGGACACCTACTCATTCAAAGGTTTTCCTTTATTTTTACTATTTTCTACATTGTAGAATAATAGTGAAGACGTCAAAACTATGAAATAACACATACAGTGGGGAAAAAAAAGTATTTAGTCAGCCACCAATTGTGCAAGTTCTCCCACTTAAAAAGATGAGAGAGGCCTGTAATTTTCATCATAGGTACACGTCAACTATGACAGACTATCACATTGTAGGATTTTTAATGAATTTATTTGCAAATTATGGTGGAAAATAAGTATTTGGTCAATAACAAAAGTTTCTCAATGCTTTGTTATATACCCTTTGTTGGCAATGACACAGGTCAAACGTTTTCTGTAAGTCTTCACAAGGTTTTCACACAATGTTGCTGGTATTTTGGCCCATTCCTCCATGCAGATCTCCTCTAGAGCAGTGATGTTTTGGGGCTGTCGCTGGGCAACACAGACTTTCATCTCCCTCCAAAGATTTTCTATGGGGTTGAGATCTGGAGACTGGCTAGGCCACTCCAGGACCTTGAAATGCTTCTTACGAAGCCACTCCTTCGTTGCCCGGGCGGTGTGTTTGGGATCATTGTCATGCTGAAAGACCCAGCCACGTTTCATCTTCAATGCCCTTGCTGATGGAAGGAGGTTTTCACTCAAAATCTCACGATACATGGCCCCATTCATTCTTTCCTTTACACGGATCAGTCGTCCTGGTCCCTTTGCAGAAAAACAGCCCCAAAGCATGATGTTTCCACCCCCATGCTTCACAGTAGTTATGGTGTTCTTTAGATGCAACTCAGCATTCTTTGTCCTCCAAACACGACGAGTTGAGTTTTTACCAAAAAGTTATATTTTGGTTTCATCTGACCATATGACATTCTCCCAATCCTCTTCTGGATCATCCAAATGCACTCTAGCAAACTTCAGACGGGCCTGGACATGTACTGGCTTAAGCAGGGGGACACGTCTGGCACTGCAGGATTTGAGTCCCTGGCGGCGTAGTGTGTTACTGATGGTAGGCTTTGTTACTTTAGCTCTCTGCAGGTCATTCACTAGGTCCCCCCGTGTGGTTCTGGGATTTTTGCTCACCGTTCTTGTGATTATTTTGACCCCACGGGGTGAGATCTTGCGTGGAGCCCCAGATCGAGGGAGATTATCAGTGGTCTTGTATGTCTTCCATTTCCTAATAATTGCTCCCACAGTTGATTTCTTCAAACCAAGCTGCTTACCTGTTGCAGATTCAGTCTTCCCAGCCTGGTGCAGGTCTACAATTTTGTTTCTGGTGTCCTTTGACAGCTCTTTGGTCTTGGCCATAGTGGAGTTTGGAGTGTGACTGTTTGAGGTTGTGGACAGGTGTCTTTTATACTGATAACAAGTTCAAACAGGTGCCATTAATACAGGTAACGAGTGGAGGACAGAGGAGCCTCTTAAAGAAGAAGTTACAGGTCTGTGAGAGCCAGAAATCTTGCTTGTTTGTAGGTGACCAAATACTTATTTTCCACCATAATTTGCAAATAAATTCATTAAAAATCCTACAATGTGATTTTCTGGATTTTTTTTCCTCAATTTGTATGATGAAAATTACAGGCCTCTCTCATCTTTTTAAGTGGGAGAACTTGCACAATTGGTGGCTGACTAAATACTTTTTTCCCCACTGTATGGAATCATGTTGTAACCTAAAAAGTGTTAAACAAATCCAAATATATTTTAGATTTTAGATTCTTCGAAGTAGCCACCCTTTTCCTTGATGACAGCTTTGCACACTCTTGGCATTCTCTCAACCAGCTTCACCTGTAATGCTTTTCCAACAGTCTTGAAGGAGTTCCCACATATGCTGAGCACTTGTTGGCTGCTTTTCCTTCACTCTGCGGTCCAACTCATCCCAAACCATCTCAACTGGGTTGAGGTCGGGTGATTGTGGAGGCCAGGTCATTTGATGCAGCACTCCATCTCTCTCCTTCTTGGTCAAATAGCCCTTAGACAGCCTGGAGGTGTGTTTTGGGTCATTGTCCTGTTGAAAAACAAATGATAGTCCCACTAAGCCCAAACCAGATGGGATGGTGTGTCGCTGCAGAATGCTGTGGTAGCCATGCTGGTTAAGTGTGCCTTGAATTCTAAATAAATCACTGACAGTGTCACCAGCAAAGCACCCCCACACCATCACACCTCCTCCTCCATGCTTCACAGTGGGAACCACACATGCGTAGACACCTCCTCCTCCATGCTTCACAGTGGGAACCACACATGCGTAGATCATCCGTTCACCTACTCTGCGTCTCACAAAGACACGGCGGTTGGAACCAAAAATCTCATATTTGGACTCATCAGACCAAAGGACAGATTTCTACCGGTCTAATGTCCATTGCTCGTGTTTCTTGGCCCACCAAGTCTCTTCTTCTTATTGGTGTCCTTTAGTAGGGTTTTCTTTGCAGCAATTCGACCATGAAGGCCTGATTCACACAGTCTCCTCTGAACAGTTGATGTTGAGATGTGTCTGTTAGTTGAACTCTGTGAAGCATTTATTTGGGCTGCAATCTGAGGTGCAGTTAACTCGAATGAATTTATCCTCTGTAGCAGAGGTAACTCTGGGTCTTCCTTTCCTGTGGCGGTCCTCATGAGATACAGTTTCATGTCTTAAAGTAATGATGGACTGTTGTTTCTCTTTGCTTATTTGAGCTGTTCTTGCCATAATATGGATGTGGTCTTTTACCAAATAGAGCTAGCTTCTGCATACCACCCCTACCTTGTCACAACACAACTGATTGGCTCAAACGTATTAAGAAGGAAAGAAATTCCACAAATTAACTTTTAACATGGCACACCTTTTAATTGAAATGCATTCCAGGTAACTACCTCATGAAGCTGGTTGAGAGAATGGCAAGAGTGTGCAAAGCTGTCATCAATGCAAAGGGTGGCTATTTGAAGAATCTGAAATATAAAATATATTTTGATTAGTTTAACACTTTTTTGGTTACTACATGATTCATATGTGTTATTTCGTAGTTGTGATGTTGTCACTATTATATAATGTAGAAAATAGTAAAAATAAAGAAAACCCCTGGAATGAGTAGGTGTGTCCAAACTTTTGACTGGTACAGTATATACAAAAGTATGTGGGCACCCCTTCAAATGAGTGGAATCGGCTATTTCAGCCACACCCGTTGCTGACAGGTGTATAACATTGAGTACACAGCCATGCAATCTCCACAGACAAACATTGGCAGTAGAATGGCCTTACTGAAGAGCTCAGTGACTTTCAACGTGGCATCGTCACAGGACGCCACCATTACAACAAGTCAGTTCGTCAAATTTCTGCCATGCTAGAGCTGCCCCAGTCAATTGTAAATGCTCTTATTGTGAAGTGGAAACGTCTAGGAGCAACAACGGCTCAGCTGCAAAGTGGTAGGCCATGCAAGCTCACAGAACGGGCCGCTGAGTGCTGAAGCGCGTAAAAACGATCTGTCCTCGGTTGCAACACTCACTACCGAGTTCCAAACTGCCTCTGGAAGCAACGTCAGCACAATAACTGTTCGTTGGGAGCTTAATGAAATGGGTTTCCATGGCCGAGCAGCCGTACACAAGCCTAAGATCACCATGCGCAATGCCAAGCGTCAGCTGGAGTGATGTAAAGCTCGCCACTATTGGACACTGGAGCAGTGGAAATGCGTTCTCTGGAGTGATGAATCACGCTTCACCACCTGGCAGTCCGATGGACAAATCTGGGTTTGGCGGATGCCAGGAGAACGCTACCTGCCTCAATGCATAGTGCCAACTGTAAAGTTTGGTGGAGGATAAATAATGGTCTGGGGCTGTTTAGTTCTAGCCCTTTAGTTCCAGTGAAGGGAAATGTTAACGCTACAGCATACAATTACATTCTAGACGATTCTGTGCTTCCAACTTTTTGGCAACAGTTTGGGGTAGGTCCTTTCCTGTTTCAGCATGACAATGCCCCCGTGCACAAAGCGAGGTCCATACAGAAATGGTTTGCCGAGATCGGTGTGGAAGAACTTGAATGGCCTGCACAGAACCCTGACCTCAACCGCATCAAACACCTTTGGGATGAATTGGAACGCCGACTGCGAGCCAGGCCTAATTACCCAACATCAGTGCCCTACCTCACTAATGCTCTTGTGACTGAATGTAAGTCCCCGCAGCAATGATCCAACATCTAGCAGAAAGCCTTCCCAGAAGAGTGGAGGCTGTTATAGCAGAAAAGGGGGGACCAACTCCATATTAATGCCCATGATTTTGGAATGAAATGTTCAATAAGCAGATGTCTACATACTTCTAGTAATGTAGTGTGTGTGTGTGTGTGTGTGTGTGTGTGTGTGTGTGTATGTATGTATGTATGTATGTATGTATGTATGTATACAGTTGAAGTCGGAAGTTTACATACACCATAGCCAAATAAATTTAAACTCAGTTTTTCACAATTCCTGACATTTAATCCTAGTAAAAAATTCCCTGTCTTAGGTCAGTTAGGATCACCACTTTATTTTAAGAATGTGAAATGTCAGAATAATAGTAGAGAGAATGATTTATTTCAGCTTTTATTTATTTCATCACATTCCCAGTGGAATATACACCATCAAAAATAAACCCATTATTAGTTTGTTTAGGCAGGTCGCAAGAGACATTATAAGACTAAGAAAATGTATTTTCAAAACAAGAGAATGGCATATCTTGAGTTTAATTATGTTATGTCCATATGAATTAAATCAATAGTAACTCAATATTAGGAAGATGTTCCTAATGTTTGGTATATTCAGTGTATATTTTGTAGTTAGAATACAATGAAATATAACAATAAAATAAAAACAATATTTTTCCCACACAACTTGCCATCATGGCAACGTGTGGAACAGCTGTCATATTAAAAAAAGTGATATTTTGTAACAGAGCCCATGGCAAGACCACCCTTACGAAAAAAGATTGCAGTCAGAGTGCAGTATAACTGCAGTATGCGGCAAATACTGTGTCCAAAATAACAATGTTTATTTTACTGCAGGTAATTTTGCAGTGTAACTGCAGTTCAACTATTCTGCAATTACTGCGTCCAAAATACCACAGTTGACTGCAGTTAGTTCCAAAACTGCAATATTTTTTTGTAAGGGCATGCTTTATTGATCAACGTTACATCTCTTTCCTAACCTCATTCGCCTTTGTTAGGGAGCAGGAGTAGGGTCTTACATTGAGAGTATCTTCATCATGATACCGATAGAAAATAATAGCTATCTATATTTTCTAAAGTATGTGAGTCTCGTGTTCATATTTCACAAACTCGCGGGCTTTTGGAGTTGAGTTACGCGATTGAGCAAAATAATAGGCCTACACTTGATTTAGGCTACATTATTGCATGCTAAATGTTTTTGATCAGTGATAGATGAGCAAACTAATAGATGAGCTGTACCACCTCCACTTATTTGCCCAGACAGAGAATTAACCAAATATACAGACGGAGATAAAAACCACATTGATTGATTAAGAAGAGTCACAGGCTTTTTGTCGGAGGTAGGCCTTTTTGTCGGAAGTAGACCTAGATAACTAAACGACTGGGAGTGAAGAGCTAAATAATCCACTTGTTAAACTACATAACATGCTGGCAAAATGTTCTGATCAGTGCTAGACAAGATGATCATGACTAGCACTCGCCTCAATTTAGCTAACATGTCTACAGCCTAATTGTAGCCTAACCAATATCCAAACGGAGATTCAGTGATAAGAAAAATCTGACATTGATTGATTTATCAAGAGGAGTCCCCACGCTTGTCTCAAAGCAGCGCGAAACGGTACTGAAATAGTTGAACACATGGGGGTAGGCTATTGCTTCAAATGTATTGTAACAATTGGATGACTTTTGGAGTTTCAGTAAGTAACAATTTGATTGCATTGACTTACTTTATTCCAATATTTTTGTCATTCATTGATATTTATTCCCACAGTAACTCTTTATGGATCCATCCAGTTGTGGTTAAGAAAACAGTGCATATGTGGTGGGCTATGCGAAGTAGTAACGTGCGCTGCCTAGCAACCATCAAGAGTTTAAGACCGTAGTGCGTGCCAATGCCGCCTCAGCATTTTGGCTACATTTCATATTAAACTGTAGGCAGAACTTTAACACATTGATGATTAGGTCGATTTTCTGCCATGAACTTCCCAAGGCTTACCCGTATTAGGGAAGCCTGGTTCTCGACGAGGCCCTTAGACTCTAAGGGGTTACAATACACATTTATTTAGTAAAACGACAGGTGCTGCTGATAATACTGCCATCGACGTCGAGGCAGAGGAGATGTATGTGTAGCCCATATATCTGATGCTGTCTGGCCAAAAAAAGGTATGGCATGTCTTACATGGGCTATATAGTAAAACAGAGGGGCGCTGTTTCGCTTGCTTCGATGCTTTCTCCGCTGAGATAGTTTCAGCCACTTGCGAATTGAAGGAAAAAAGTTGGCGGGTGCACAGCGCACTGTTCAGATGCTGGAATTATTTTGGATAAACGTGCGAAGGTAACCTACTTTTTGAAGTGATTTGTTTAACAAGCAGATAAAACATCATGACTGGATGTGTTCATGGCACATTAAAATGTAATGCATTTTTATAGTTAATTACATGTCTTTACTATAAAACCCAATTAAAGAAAATGGTGCATGCGCATAAGAGTGGAGGGGGCCTCAGACTGGCTCTGCCTGAGGCTCCAAATCACTAGGTCTGCACCTCCCGCGCTCTCTTTTTCTCTCACTCATTCACTCTCTTCCCCCCACCTATTTTCTCTTTCTTTTCCTCCTCTCTTTCCTCCCTCTCAGATGAAGTGCAGGTCTGCTGCCCCCGGTGGCCACCTGGTGTCGGTGCATAACAAACAGCCAACGCTGACCTGCTTTGCGTGGTGATGACGATGAATGCTTCAAACTCTTCCTGGTAGGAGAGGAAGGGTGATGGAGAGAGGGGGTGAAGGGAGATTAATGAATGTGGGGAAGAGAGTAAGGGAAGAAGCATTATGCCAAACGCCCTCACATCAGGCTAGGAGGTGTGGTGGCCGAACAACGATGCTGAGATGCTGTGTTGACAAGGAATCCGCTGACACTGTACTTGATTATAAAGGTTTATTATATCAAGGATTTCAGCATCAATTTACAGATTTCTGCAGAATCTGGAGAGCAACAAACCCAATCTCAAATATGATCACTCTTCGTCCCTTTGTTCAAACATGGTATATATACCCTATGTAACATAAGATGGCGTGTTTTGAATAGACCAATCCCTGGCCTCCACATATCCCAATGTCCACCATCTTAGGGGGCCCCTATAGTAACACTTTCCAGATGTTTCAGCACAGCAGAGCAAAGTTCATTTAACCAACAATATGAAAACCTCAGCCAAAGCTATAAATGTTCAGATACTCCAGAGGCTTCAAACTCTTCCAGGTAGGAGAGGAAGAGTGATGGATGGAGAGAGGGAGTGATGAAGAGCGGACAGAGTGGATAGTGGGTGGATGGAGGAGGGAGGTAAATGAGTGTGGGAGGAAAGAGTGACATGTTCGGTAGAAGGGGAAAGAGAGAAGCTTTGCAGCACAATATGTAACTTTGAACATGACTTCTATCTTAATATCTACATTTACAGTATTCAGACCTCTTGACCTTTTCCACATTTTGTTACGTTACAGCCTTATTCTAAAATGGATTCAATTGTTTTTTTTCCTCATCAATCTACACACTACCCCATAATGACAAAAACAGGGCTTTAGAAAGAAAAAAAACAGAAATATCACATTTACTTAACTATTCAGACCCTTTACTCAGTACTTTGTTGAAGCACCTTTGGCAGTGATTACAGCCTCGAGTCTTCTTGGGTATGACGCTACAAGCTTGGCACACTTGTATTTGGGGAGTTTATCCCATTCTTCTCTGAAGATCATCTCAAGCTCTGTCAGGTTGGATGGGGAGCGTCGCTGTACAGCTATTTTCAGGTCTCTCCAAAGATGTTGGATCGGGTTAAAGTCAGAGCTCTGGCTGGGCCACTCATGGACATTCTGAGACTGTTTTTCATCAAGGATCTCTCTTTACTTTGCGCCGTTCATCTTTCCCTCGATCCTGACTAATATCCCAGTCCCTGTTGCTGAAAAACATCCCACAGCATGATGCTGCCACCACCATGCTTCACCGTAGGGATGGTATTGGCCAGGTGATGAGCGGTGCCTGGTTTCCTCCAGACGTGACGCTTGGCATTCAGGCCAAAGAGTTCAATCTTGGTTTCATCAGACCAGATAATCTTGTTTCTCATGGTCTGAGAGTCCTTTAGGTGCCTTTTGGCAAACTCCAATTGGGCTGTCATGTGCCTTTTACTGAGGAGTGGCTTCCGTCTGGCTACTACCAAAAAGGACTGATTGGTGGAGTGCTGCAGAGATGGTTGTCCTTCTGGAAGGTTCTCACATCTCCACAGAGGAACTCTGGAGCTCTGGCAGAGTGACCATCGGGTTCTTGGTCACCTCCCTGACCAAGGCCCTTCTCCCTCGATTGCTCAGTTTGGCCGGGTGGCCAGTTCTAGGAAAAGTCTTGGTGGTTCCAAACTTCTTCCATTTAAGAACGATGGAGGCCACTGTGTTCTTGTCTTGAGGACCTTCAATGCTGCAGATATTTTTTGGTACCCTTCCCCAGATCTGTGCCTCGACACAATCCTGTCTCTGAGCTCTATGGACAATTCCTTCGACCTCATGGCTTGGTTTTTGCTCTGACATGCACTGTCAACTGTGGGACCTTATATAGACAGGTGTGTGCCTTTCCAAATCATGTCCAATCAATTGAATTTACCACAGGTGGACTCCAATCAAGTTGTAGAAACATCTCAATGATGCTCATTGGAAACAGGATGCACCTGAGCTCAATTGTTGAGTCTCATAGCAAGGGTCTGAATACTTATGTAAATAAGGTATTTCAGTTTTTTTTTTTTTATATACATTTGTAAAAATGTCTAAAAATCTGTTTTCACTTTGTCATTATGGGGTATTGTGTGTATATTGATGAGGAAAATGTTTTATTTAATCAATTTTAGAATAAGGCTGTAATGTAACAAAATGTGGAAAAAGTGAAGGGGTCTGAATACTTTCCAAATGCACTGTACATATTTTCTCACCACCTGTCTTTCTATCGCTCCCCTCGCTCTTCCTCTATCCACCTCTCTCTCTCTCTCTCTCTCTCTCTCTCACTCCCTCCTTCTCTAAGTCTGATAAGTTTGTGTGGACTGACGGCTCCAACTGGAACTTCGATGCGTGGACCTCAAGGGGAGCCCATCGCCCGCTGGATGAACCACGAGGACTGTGTGGAGATGAACTGGAGCAGTAAGAGATGGAAAGAGGGATGGAGGGAGGAGTGATTGGAAGGAGAGCGGGATGGATGGTTTTTACTTGCAATGGCTGTGATATATGTTTGTTTTTACCTACCTTAGTTGAATGCACTGGCTAACTGCTAAAATGACAAAAACGTGAAAGAAACATTTCATGGAAGGTGGTGGGGAGGAAGTTGGAATGAATGGTGGAGGGAAGAGATGGTATTTTGAACTCACACATTTGAACGTCTGTCTGTCTGTCTGTCTGTCTGTCTGTCTGTCTGTCTGTCTGTTCGTTCTCTATCTCCAAGGAATTGGGAAGTGGAACGACCACACGTTTCACCAAGAAGAGCTACGTGTGCTCCTTCAAGAACAGAGTTTGAGGACGAAGAGAGAGCGACTGTGGGTCTTTTCCAATATTCACACTCACATACTTAGTATGAAGCAGCATTGTATTGGGCTTGCCTTCTAAGTGGTATGTTAGTATAGACTGGGTGTATGTCTGTGTGACACCAATCCAATCCCCTGCTCCTCTCTCTTGGGTTGTGATGGAAATGACACCCTATTCCCTATAGAGTGCATTACTTTTGTCCAGAGCCCCATGGGCCCCCTGGTCAAAATAGTGCACTATAAGGGATAGGGTGCAATTTGGGACTCACCCTGCTCCTTTCCCCAACAATCCCAACCCACAGATCTCCCATTGTGAAACCAAACCACAGAGAGATGTGCCTGCTTTTAGCAAACTGAAAAATGCATTAAAAAATATATAAATAAAGAGTGTTAAGCAAGTAAAAAACTAGAGTTGTTGTTTGTATGTTTCTAGCAGGATTTGAGTTTCTGGCAGAATCAAACCAGAATCACATTTTTGTGACATCATTTTATTTAAATTGTTGGTAGACTTTAACACTTTGTAGAGGTATGAGTTCAAATACAATAGTCCATGGTGGGTCACATGCAAAGTTAAGGATTACACATACAACATCCACTATGAAAATATTACAGGTAAATTACAGGTTAATGTGAAATATTAGGAATATTACAATGCTATATATACATGCATTCTCTATCCGGGGTGAAGTGTCCCCTAGGTACAGATCTAGGATCAGCTTCCCCAATCCTAACTATAACCATTAGTGGGGGAAATGTTAAACTGACCCAAGATTAGGGTCTAGGCGCAACATCACCCTAAACCTACAAATTGCCATCACCCGCCCCTTTCCCCTCGAACACTCCATTCCATTGGCTTTACAGACTGTCCGTTAGCCGTATTGTCCAATGGAAAAGGCACCTGAGTCGTTTGACTGCTTCTCTACTCCAATCAGCTCTCTACTCCGATACAGCTCGTTGCTGGATATGGAGTTCTCGATCTCCGTGTCTGATACCTAATGGTAAATGGAAGATTGGGAGCACATCAGGAGAACATCAGGAGAACATCAGCATCACATCACAGTCAGGCGATTCCTATTTTCCACTTAAGCCACATTTTCACTTAGTCTCCAGTTGATATCAATGCATGACTTAAGTGGAAGTTAGGATTTGCCCCTTAGTTTCAACTATTCCTCTGGGCTAATCCTCAGAGTAGGCGTACTGATTTAGAATTAGTTTTGCCTTTTAGATCACAATGAATAAGATCATGGGACAGGGGTGAGCTGATCCTAGATCAGCACTCCTACTCTGAGATGCGGCCCCAGGCCTGCAAAGGCTGACACTGGTCAGTAAGATAAATATCTATATCACAGTAAGCAGGGTTGGTGTCTTGCCTCAAACTTTACCTCCTCAAACTTCTTGGCCTTGTATTGCTCTGCTCCCTTCAGGAAGTTCAAGAGGATGATGTCACAAAGCACGGTGCCCTGCGACCAATCCAAGGCAGACAAAGAAAACAAGGTTGTAGAATAGAATAGAATGGAATTGAAAAAATGAGAAGAGAGAAGAGAGGAGAAGAGAGGAGAAGAGAAGAGAATAACTTTGTCAACTAGCCTAGAGGTGTGGATACTGTGTGGATACAATTGTCAGAAGGTAGCGACTGAAAAGCAGGGCTCACCACTCCAACTGACGTAAAGGCAGCTACCATGTTGATCAGAGTAGGGATCATGTTAAACTTCCCTGCCTGTAAGAAACAAATTAAGTATTTTACAGAAGTAAACACACATCCACGCACAGACAGAGACAGACAGACACACGCACACACTCGTACACACGCACACACAGCATCAAAAACACTCACATTTCCATTGACCAGCACATCAAACCGGATGGCATAGGCCTTGAGCAGAGTACGGTAATCTGTCCCGTTGTCCATCTTGTAGTACTTAGCATACCTATCAGCCCAACATGGACAGAGAGTAAGGACATGGGCAATGCACATTGGTTGACAGTTTATCCTACCCTGAGTCACTAGTTTTAGACAATTTACAAAGAGCCAAGGTCAAGGGGTTACTTGGTCAGAGGTCATGGCTACCTGAAGTTGTACCCGTGGGACACGCCTCTACTCAAGGTCAAGGGCTCACCATAGAGATCTCATCTTTGTATTTGTGCCATTATGGCATCAGTGACAGCCATTGAGGCTATCTCCATTCTGACGAAGTCAATTTTCTTCTTCTTTTGTGTTTCGAAAAAGCGTAAAGCTAATATTGTTGTTTTATCACAACCTGTAGTGCTGGAGTCCTGAACCAAATCTTGTGTCATTCATTTATTGTGGCCACTAGATGGCGGTGATCTGGCTCAGTGGTTTTCAACTGGTGTACCTTGAGGAACGGTGTTACTTTTCCTAATCTGGATAATTTTTTGGAACACTCACTTATAAACGTGACCTGTGAAATGCTCAAGGAATTTTGAATTAGGAGCACCAGTGCCGCTCAGATAATACATTGAATGGCACACACATGGTTACGTCTTTATCATTATTTGAAGTCTGGTGCGCTCAGGCTGTTGTTAACTTTGTATCATTTGAAGGGCACGCATCAGGAGCAAAGTCATTTGTATAATTTTACTTTGCCTGTGACTGAGAACCATTAGCACAGGCAAGTCTGATTAGGCTTAGCTGTACCGCAGCCTCTGCCATAGAAAAATATGGAGCATGGCTTTGTGTCCCTCCTGAGTGGCGCAGTGGTCTAAGGCGCTGCATCACTGTGCCACTAGAGATCCTGGTTCGAATCCAGGCTCTGTTGTAGCCGGCCGTGACCGGGAGTCCCATGGGGCGGCGCACAATTGGCCCGGCGTCGTCCAGGGTAGGGGAGGGAATGGCCGGCAGGGATGTAGAGCATGGCGTTTGCAACGCCAGGATTGTGGATTCGATTCCCAGTATGAAAAAAATAATGTATGCACTCACTAACTGTAAGTCGCTCTGGATAAGAGCGTCTGCTAAATGACGTAAATGTAAATGTCCCTTGTTGCACCTTTACAATGCAGAAAACCAATGTCTCTAACACAAACCATTCAAAACTAATGACCTATTTCACCAGATCTACATTTTTTTATTTTTAGCACGGATTCGCGGGACGCTCTTAAAGGAGTACCGAAAAATTTGTCATAATGAGTAAGGAACTATGAAAATTGTTCAAATAAACCCTATTTAATCTATAAAAACGTTTGTCTCTGAAAAAACAAGATTGGCAGTTTGGATCAGATGAGTTGGAGGTAATTTACACTAAATCAATTATAAGGGACATTTTAGGTGTGCTTTATACCATCAAGGTGTGCCACAGTTAAAAAAGGTTGGGAACCACTGATCTAGCATAAAGCTATTTATTACATTTTAGTCATTTAGCAGACTCTCTTATCCAGAGCGACTAACAGTTAGTGAGTGCATACATTATTTTTTATACTGGCCCCCCGTGGGAATCGAACCCACAACCCTGGCATTGCAAACGCCATGCTCTACCAACTGAGCTACATCCCTGCCGGCCATTCCCTCCCCTACCCTGGACGAATTGTGCGCCGCCCCATGGGTCTCCCGGTCGCGGCCGGCTATGACAGAGCCTGGATTCGAACCAGGATCTCTAGTGGCACAGCTAGCACTGCGATGCAGTGCCTTAGACCACTGCGCCACTCGGGAGATTTTATTTACTAACCATAGGCAACCTAATTTGAAGAAGACGCTCTCTCTGATCATTGACTGATGGCTCCCAACACATGGGAATCCTCACCCATTTGACTACTTTAAAATGGTGTAAGCCGTCAATGGCAATGTCCATGCAAAAAACGGGTTATATCCATCTAGATATCTCTATGTATCTCTATGGGTCTCACTCTCTAAAGGCCAGAGGTTAGAAGAGGTCAGAGGTCATGGCTACCTGAAGTTGTACCCGGGGGAGACGCTGTTCTTCTCCGACATGGCATCCAGCCGGGTGAAGGAGTAGGAGGGGTTACACTCATCCTCTGACTTATCCAGGTCACACATCCAGCCAATCTTTATACCTATCACCCCTCCCTGTACAAAGGGGTTGACATATATTTAGAACATCTCTCTCATTATTTACTGTATGAGAAGGGGGAAAAGGCAGCGTATGAATGTAGCCTAAAGGGGAAGGAGTGAATATAGCCCAAGGGGAGTAAAAAGAGAGAAAGAGAGCATCATATGTGAGTATATAAAAATAACTGTGAATAGAAATCCCAGGAGGCTGCTAATAATGTCCGGAACGGAGCAACTGGAATGGCATCAAACACCTGGAAACCATGTGTTTGATGTATTTGATACCATTCCACTGATCCCACTCCAGTCATTAACACGAGCCCGTACTCCCCAATTAAGGTGCCACCAACCTCCTGTGATAGAAATATGTCAAGTTAATATGCTAGTATTGATATATACCTGGGAGTGAACCACCATACCTTCTGTGCCAGCATGGTGAAGTTCTGGTGTGCATAGCGGATGACGTCCCCCACCCTGAAGATGGGGCAGTAGGTGTTGTTCTCATGGTCAAAGTTACACGCCTTGATGTACTGAGGGGTGATGGTGGGGAGGAAGTTACCCCTGAGACACGCACGCACACACGCACATATAAACACAGGAGAGAGAGGGGACCAGTTAGAGTTGTTACATGATTATCACTATCATCTTCATCACCAATGTCACCTTTATCGTCATCATCATCATGATCGTCATCATCATCATCATCATTGTCATCATCATCATCATCATCGTCATCATCATCGGCATCATCATAATCATCATCATCATCATCATCATCATCATCATCGTCGTCTTCATCATCGTCATCATCGTCGTCATCATCATCATCGTCATCATCATCGTCATCAACATCATCATCATCATAATCATCATCATCATCATCAGTCTTACTTGGTGAAATTGAAGAGGGGGAAACGGATGCTGTTCTTGATGAAGATGGTGAAGTTCTCCACCTCCATCATAGGATGCCTGAGGGAAGGTCAGAAAGAGAATCATGTTCCTTCATCTACACACACACACACACACACACACCACGGTTACCCACGTCTTGATGTAGTCGATCTCCGCAGGGCACCAGCCTCTGATCTCACAGGTGTTGAGGGTGTCGTTGAAACGTACACACCTGCCGGTCGGAAGACCTGAGGGAGAGCGGGAGGGAAAAGAGAGAGGGAGAAAGAGGTAGGGGATAGAGAGACAGAGAGAGAGAGAGAGAGAGAAGGAGTATATACAGGATGACAAAGAAAGGGGGAGGACGGATAGGGACAATAAATGACAAAGACCAAACCATTCTCATGGGAGCAACTATTTGGCGAACTCCGTAACATCTTCTATCCTCTTAAGGAAAGAGAATAAGAAAAGGAAGAGAATTGATACAGAAAAAGTGGAGGAACCTCACCATTTCCCCCAGGCTTGTTGAGGAACTTAGTGCAGTTGTTGTCGTGCGTACACTTGTATTTCATCTCACTCTGTGTATCACACATAATACAGAGTTAGAGTAACATACAGAGATAGATAGACAGAGCGAGAGACAGACAGACAGACACAAAGAGAGACAGAGAGAGAGAGACAGACAGACAGACAGACAGACAGACAGACAGACAGACAGACAGACAGACAGACAGACAGACAGACAGACAGACAGACAGACAGACAGACAGACAGACAGAGAGACAGACAGATAGACAGACACAAAGAGACAGACAGAGAGAGAGAGAGCGAGAGAATTCACAAAATGGGACAAACACCAAATTGAGACTCTGCAGGTAGAATTCTGCAAAAATATCCTCTGTTTACAACGAAAACCACCAAACAATGCATGCAGAGCAGAATTAGGCCGATACCCGCTAATTATCAAAATCCAAACCACTTAAAAGGAAGCGATTCCCAAACCTTCCATTACAAAGCCATCACCTACAGAGAGATTAACTTGGAGAAGAATCCCCTAAGTAAGCTGGTCCTAGCGCTCTGTTCACAAACACAAACAGACCCCACAGAGCCCCAGGACAACAACAACAACACAATTAGACCCAACCAAATCATGAGAAAACAAAAAGAGAATTACTTGACACATTGGAAAGAATTATCAAAAAAACTGAGCAAACTAGAATGCTATTTGGCCCTAAACAGAGAGTACACAGTGGCAGAATACCTGACCATTGTGACTGACCCAAACTTAAGGAAAGCTTTGACTATGTACAGACTCAGTGAGCATAGCCTTGCTATTGAGAAAGGCCACCGTAGGCAGACCTGGCTCTCAAGAGAAGACAGGCTATGTGCACACTGCCCACAAAATGAGGTGGAAACTGAGCTGCACTTCCTAACCTCCTGCCAAATGTATGACCATATTAGAGACACATATTTCCCTCAGATTACAGAGATCCACAAAGAATTCGAAAACAAACCCAATTTTGATAAACTCCCTTATCTACTGGGTGAAAAACCACAGTGTGCCATCAAAGCAGCAAGATTTGTGACCTGTTGCCACAAGAAAAGGGCAACCAGTGAAGAACAAACACCATTGTAAATACAACACATATATATTTGTTTTCCCATTTGTACTAACTATTTGTACATTGTTACAACACTGTATATAGACATAATATGACATTCAAAATGTCTTTCTTATTTAGGAACTTCTGAGTGTAATGTTTTCCTGTTAATATTTTTTGTTTATTTCACTTTTGTTTACTATCTACTTCACTTGCTTTGGCAATGTTAACATACATTTCCCATGCCAATAAAGCCCTTAATTTTGATATTGATGAGAGAACAGACAGACATGACTACAAAGAGACAAGACACCATACAGAGAGAGAGAGAGCAAGAGAGCGAGACAGAGACATACAGAGAGAGAGAGAGAGCAAGAGAGTGAGACAGAGAGAGACAGAGAGAGAGACAGACACACAGAGAGAGAGAGCGAGAGAGAGCGAGACCAGACAGACAACAGACAGACAGACATAGAGAGAGAGAAGAGAGAGACAGACCGACAGACAGACAGACAGACAGACAGACAGAGAGAGACAGAGAGACAGACAGGAGAGAGAGAGAGAGAGAGAGAGAGAGAAGAGAGAGAGAGATAGAGAGAGAGAGAGAGAGAAAGAGAGAGAGAGAGAGAAGAGAGGATAGACATAAGAGAACAAGAGAAAGAGGAGCAGAAGAGAGAGAGAGACAGAGAACAGAGATAGAGATAGAGACAGAGAGGAGAGAGAGATGCGTAGAGATAGAGCGAGAGAGATAGATAGAGAGAGAGAGAGAGAGAGAGAGAGAGATAGAGAGAGAGTAGAGAGAGAAGGAGACAGCATATACATACAAGACAGAAGAGACAGGGCATACAGAGATACGAGAGACAGAACATACAGACAGAGAGAGAGAGAGCGAGAGAGAGAAGGAGAGAGAGAGAGAGATAGAGAAGAGAGAGAGAGAGAGAGAGAGAGAGAGGAGAGAGAGAGGCGAGAGATAGAGGAGAGAGAGATAGAGAGAGCGATAAGATAGAGAGAAGAGAGAAGACATGCATACAGACAGACAGAACAGACCGAACAGACAGACAGACAAACAGACATACAAGACAGGACAGACAGATAGACAGAACAGACAGAGATAGAGCGAGAGAGAGAGAGAGAGAGAGCTAGAGAGATAGATGAAGATGATGAGACCGGGCAGGACCTTACAGACAGACAGACAGACGACCATACAACATACATACAGACCAGACAGACCATACGACAGACAGATAGAGATACGAGAGACAGACAGACAGAGATAGAGAGAGATAGAGAGAGAGAGGAGATTAGAGAGAGAGAGAGAGAGAGAAGCGAGGAGAGACAGGCAGACAGACGACGACAGACAGACAGACACAGAATACAGAGAGGACAAGAGATCACAGACAACAGAGAGAGAGAGAGAGAGAGAGAGAGATAGAGAGAGAGAGAGAGAGAGAGAGAGAGAGAGAGAGGGAGAGAGAGAGAGAGAGAGAGAGAGAGAGAACATACCCCAGTCAGGCTCAATGGTAGAGTAAGTGGTCTCACCTCAGGACAGTATCCCTGCACCTGGTTATCTGTGGTGATGAGTTTAGTGATGATGCAGAACACAGAGGCCCCCTGTCAGACCACACACAACCACACAACACACACAGACCCACACACACACACACACAACGACACACGACACACAACCACACACACACACAACACACACACACACACACCATTTACATTGACCAGCACATCAAACCTGATGTCATAATCCACACATACCAGTATCAATATTTGGTATCCATTTTCTATTAAGTATTATGTGATTTTTAAAGGGCTTTTAACAAATCCATTAGCCACAAAGTGCTTACAGCAACCCAGATATAAACAAAGATTGAGCAAGCAGGGGAGACAGAGGCTATAAAAAAAACTATACAAAGGCTCCTTAGGCTATCAATCAATGCCAGTTGCCAACATTAACACAAGTAATACAAATATCTCAGACCATAATCAATAGAGTATTGTCTCAGTGTGTGTGTGCTTGGGTACCTACGTGCACGCATGTGTGTGTGTCTATGTGTGTGCGTGCACGCGTACAGATCTTTACGTGTGTTTGTGTGTTACCTGAGAGGGAGTAACGTACTCAGCTACGTCCATGACTCGGTTGTTGTAGAGTCCAAAGCCTTTGACTTTGGTCATGACAGACGACTCTATAGCCGTGTCTCTGATCTGGTACGCCTTCTCATGCACAAACACCCACCTGAGAGAGGTGCAGGAGAGGAGAGAAAGAAGGAGAGAAAGAAGAGAGAGAAGGGGAATAGAAAGAGATAGATTAGGGGATGGAGAGAGAGGGGTTGAGATAACATAATGGGAAAATCATTCAATCACATTTTCCCTTCTCTTTCTGTTACGTATAGAGTACATAAATAATAATGAATGATCTATGAGTCTTGGAAGACTAGCCCTTTGTTGGGCTAAAATATATCCTAATTAACAAACAATAGATTAATAAGATTCAGCTCCATAAGCACAAGACGTTGAAAAGACGTTTGGTTGAAAAGATGTTGAAAGACGTTAAAAATACATAATTTTGGTTGAAAAAAGGTTGAACATACATAAAGCTTTATTATAAGACATTTGCATCTGACTTTAAGTATGCGAATACTTTTTCCTGTTTCTCCAATGAAAAGACGTTGAAAAGACGTCTTTCAACCAATTTCTCACACTGGGAGATCCAGAATGTGCATAGAGTGATACTACTGACCCGATGAAGTAGGTGATAATGAGGAGTTGTACGACGCGGTTGATGATCCCGATGGTCCAGCTCTTCACCACCACAGACTTGGTGGTCTCGTAGGTGAAGAAGTCCGTGATACACGACCACATCCTGGCGTTGAGGCAACCCGGAACGCCCAATAAATCCAACGTGTGTCTGTCAGTGACCCAAAGTCACAGCCAACAATCCACAGAATGCCTCTTCAGAGAGTGTGTATGTGTGACTTAGCTACCCCCCCCCCGCCCCCAAATTTTTTTAAAAATAAAAATAAATAGACAAGTCCCAAGATGTGTTGGTTTCCCTACATACTAAAACACTGTTATTTGTTCCAAAAAAGCAACCTGATCATATTCTTCGCTTCTTTCAAAAAGGTCCAAATAACAGACTTCAATGTCGCTGCTGAAATAGTGAAATGGTAAACATCCTTACTCTCTCCCCCTCCCTTTTTCCATCTCTCTCTTTACCCCCTCTCTCTTTCTCTGTCTGCTTTTTTCTTTCCTCCACTTACCAGATTCTCTCAACTCCTCCTTGTTTTTCTTTCTCCTCTTCTGTTTCCCCTAATGCACGCACGCACACACACACACACACACACACACACCACACACACACACACACACACACACACCACACACACACACACACACACACACACACACACAGAGAGATAGAGAGAGAGAGAGAGAGAGAGAGAGAGAGTGAGAGAGAGAACCACATACACTCATTATTGGACATCCATTACACCCCAAATCACATCAGAAGAATGACACACTTACATATAATGGAAGTTGTCACCTATCTTGTCAATCTATAGCTATGTGTGGACATCTGCATTGAGCTGGTCACTTTTAAATTACTACATTCTACATGGAATTCTATGGTCATTTATGACAAATTACCAGGGAGAATATTGGATCCTGATTGGCCGAGAAGGAGGAAGTGGACAGATCCCCCCCTGTCACCCAACCTCTCCAATCCACAAAGCATGGACACTTAGAATCTTTATTATTATTGACCAAATCCTCTAACTCAATCTGTAATAACCACTTACTGGAGGGAGGGAGGGAGGGAGAGAGATGGAGGGAGAGTGGAACAATGAGGGAGGAAGCGATTGAGGGAGGGTTGTGGGAATAGGATTGACAGAGTTAGTTCACACACACACACACACACACACACACACACACACACACACACACACACACAGTAAAAGATGGAGAAGATTACTTGAGAGTTAAGGAGGAGGATTTCCTGAGTGATGCCAGTCAGTCTGTCAGCATTCTCAGTAAAACAACAAAAAATGGAGTAAGAAGTAAAATACAATCCCATTACAATTAATGACAGACTGACTGGCATGACAGACTCACACTCTCTCTCTCACACACACACACACACACACACACACACACACACACACACACACACACACACACACACACACACACACACACACACACACACACACACACACACACACACACACACACACACACACACACTCTCTAACATTTAAAGAGCAGTAACCTTGATTGTTGTCTGTTGTCTTTAGCCCTTGACCTGAGGTCTAGATGTCCATGACCATAGCTATTACATGCTACTGTATGTATGTTATATATACAGTACCTGTCAAAAGTTTGGACACACCTACTCATTCAAGGGTTTTTCTTTATTTTGTACTATTTTCTACATTGTAGAATAATAGTGAAGACATCAAAACTATGAAATAACACATATGGAATCATGTAGTAACCAAAAAAGTCTTAAACAAATCAAAATATATTTTAGATTTTACATTCTTCAAAGAAGCCAACCTTTGCCTTGATGACAGCTTTGCACACTATTGGCATTCTCTCAACCAGCTTCACATGGAATGCTTTTCCAACAGTCTTGAAGGAGTTCCCACATATGCTGAGCACTTGTTGGCTGCTTTTCCTTCACTCTGCGATCCAACTCATCCCAAACCATCTCAATTGGGTTGTGGTCGGGTGATTGTGGAGGCCAGGTCATCTGATGCAGCACTCCATCACTCTCCTTCTTGGTCAAATAGCCCTTACACAGCTTGGAGGTGTGTTGGGTCATTGTCCTGTTGAAAAACAAATGATAGTCCCAATAAGACCAAACCAGATGTGATGGCGTATCGCTGCAGAATGCTGTGGTAGCCATGCTGGTTAAGTGTGCCTTGAATTCTCAATAAATCACAGACAGTGTCACCAGCAAAGCACCCCCACACCATCACACCTCCTCCTCCATGCTTCACGGTGTGAACCACACATGCAGAGATAATCTGTTCACCTACTCTGAGTCTCACAAAGACATGGCGGTTGGAACCAAAAGTCTCACATTTGGACTCATCACACCAAAGGACAGATTTCCACCGGTCTAATGTCCATTGCTCGTGTTTCTTGGCCCAAGCAAGTCTCTTCTTATTATTGGTGTCCTTTAGTAGTGGATTTCTTTGCAGCAATTCGACCATGAAGGCCTGATTCATGCAGGCTCCTCTGAACAGTTGATGTTGAGATGTGTCTGTTACTTGAACTCTGTGAAGCATTTATTTGGGCTGCAATTTCTGAGGCTGGTAACTCTAATGAACTTATCCTCTGCAGCAGAGGTAACTCTGGGTCTTCTTTTCCTGGGTGGTCCTCATGAGAGCCACTTTCATCATAGGGCTTGTTGTTTTTTTGCGACTACACTTGAAGAATCTTTCAAAGTTCTTGAAATGTTCCGTACTGACTAACCTTCATGTCTTAAAGTAATGATGGACTGTCGTTTCTCTTTGCTTATTTGAGCTGTTCTTGCCATAATATGGACTTGGTCTTTTACCAAATAGGGCTGTCTTCTGTATACCACCTCTAACTTGTCACAACACAACTGATTGGCTCTAACGCATTAAGAAGGAAAGAAATTCCACAAATTAACTTTTCACAAGGCACACCTGTTAATTGAAATGCATTCCAAATGGCTACCTCATGAAGCTGGTTGAGAGAATGCCAAGAGTGTGCAAAGCTGTCATCAAAGCAAATATATTTTGATTTGTTTAACACTTTTTGGTTAATACATGATGTGTTATTTCATAGTTTTGATGTCTTCAATATTATTCTACAATGTAGAACTGGTACAGTACATTTCATATATGGACAAGAGGAACACCTATGTGAGAATGCTATTCATTGACTACAGCTCAGCATTCAACACCATAGTGCCCTCTAAGCTCATCACTAAGCTAAGGATCCTGGGACTAAACACCTCCCTCTGCAACTGGATCCTGGACTTCCTGACGGGCCGCCCCCAGGTGGTAAGGGTAGGTAACAACACATCTGCCACACTGATCCTCAACACGGGGGCCCCTCAGGGGTGCGTGCTCAGTCCCCTCCTGTACTCTCTGTTCACCCATGACTGCATGGCCAGGCACGACTCCAACACCATCATTAAGTTTGCCGACGACACAACAGTGGTAGGCCTGATCACCGACAACGATGAGACAGCCTATAGGGAGGAGGTCAGAGATCTGGCCGTGTGGTGCCAGGACAACAACCTCTCCCTCAACGTGACCAAGACAAAGGAGATGATTGTGGACTACAGGAAAAAAAAGAGGACTGAGCACGCCCCCATTCTCATCGACGGGGCTGTAGTGGAACAGGTTGAGAGCTTCAAGTTCCTTGGTGTCCACATCACCAACGAACTATCATGGTCCAAACACACCAAGACAGTCGTGAAGAGGGTACGACAAAGCCTATTCCCCCTCAGGAGACTAAAAAGATTTGGCATGGGTCCTCAGATCCTCAAAAAATTCTACAGCTGCACCATCGAGAGCATCCTGACTGGTTGCATCACCGCCTGGTATGGCAACTGCTTGGCCTCTGACCGCAAGGCACTACAGAGGGTAGTGCGTACGGCCCAGTACATCACTGGGGCAAAGCTCCCTGCCATCCAGGACCTCTATACCAGGCGGTGTCAGAGGAAGGCCCTCAAAATTGTCAAAGACTCCAGCCACCCTAGTCATAGACTGTTCTCTCTGCTACCGCACGGCAAGCGGTACCGGAGTGCCAAGTCTAGGTCCAAAAGACTTCTCAACAGCTTCTACCCCCCAAGCCATAAGACTCCTGAACAGCTAATCATGGCTACCCGGACTATTTGCACTGCCCCCCCACCCCATCCTTTTTACGCTGCTGCTACTCTGTTAAGTAAGTATTTATGCATAGTCACTTTAACTCTACCCACATGTACATATTACCTCAACTACCTCAACTAGCCGGTGCCCCCGCACATTGACTCTGCAACGGTACCCCCCTGTATATATAGCCTCCCTACTGTCACTTTATTTTACTGTATATATAGCCTCCCTACTGTCACTTTATTTTACTTCTGCTCTTTTTTTCTCAACACTTTTTTTGTTGTTGTTTTATTCTTACTTTTTTTGTTTAAAATAAATGCACTGTTGGTTAAGGGCTGTAAGTAAGCATTTCACTGTAATGTCTGCACCTGTTGTATTCGGCGCATGTGACCAATAAAATTTGATATGATTTGATTTGATTTGATTTTATATAATTCGATTTTACCCGATGTTTCAACCAGGTCTGCATCCAAAATGGCACCCTATTCCCTATATAATGCCCTACTTTTGACCTTGGCCCATAGGTCAAAAGTAGTGCAGTATGTAGGGAATAGGGTGTTACTTGGGAGGATGCAGACCTTGTCTTTTACCATGCTCATTGAAAGATGAATATATTAATATCTACATAGGCGTACAGAGGCCCATTATCAGCAACCATCAGTCCTGTGTTCCAAAGGCATGTTGTGTTTGCTAATCCAAGTTTATTGATCATTAGAAAACCCTTTTGCAATTATGTTAGCACAGCTGAAAACGGGCCTTCTTGAGACTAGTTGAGTATCTGGAGCATCAGCAATTGTGGGTTCGATTACAGAATCAAAAGGGCCAGAAACAAATAACTTTCTTCTGAAACTCGTCAGTCTATTCTTGTTCTGAGAAATGAAGGCTATTCCATGCGAGAAATTGCCAAGAAACTGAAGATCTCGTACAACGCTGTGTACTACTCCCTTCACAGAACAGCGCAAACTGGCTCTAACCAGAATAGAAAGAGGAGTGGGAGGCCCCGGTGCACAACTGAGCAAGAGGACAAATACATTAGAGTGTCTAGTTTGAGAAACAGACGCCTCACAGGTCCTCAACTGGCAGCTTCATTAAATAGTACATGCAAAACACCAGTCTCAACGTCAACAGTGAAGAGGCGACTCCGGGATGCTGAACTTCTAGGCAGAGTTGCAAAG